TTTGATGTGAGGTTTGTGATGTGAGGTTTGTGATGTGAGGTTTGTGATGTGAGGTTTGTGATGTGAGGTTTGTAGTATAAGGTTTATAGTATTTGATTTTGTATATTTGGATTTGAGAGATGGGATGGATGGATGAAATGAAATGAAATGAGATGAGATGAGATGAGATGAGATGAGATGAGATGGAGATGGAGATGAGATGGAGATGGAGATGGAGATGGAGATAGAGATGATGGAGATGAAAATTGGATGGAGGGATAGAATGAATAATGAGATGGAGATTAGATGGATAGATGAATGGAAATGGGATGATATGGGTAGAGAGGGATAAAGGGATGGATGGATAGATGGAGAGATAAGATGGATAATAAGATAGTTGAGATTAGATGAGATGAGATGGAGATGAGATGGAGATAATATAGGTAAAGATAGGGATAAATGATTGAAATGGATATAAAATAAAGATAGAGATAAGATAAATATAAATAAGTATGGTGATAAATATTTTTCTCGAAAAGAGAGTTACTAATAGTATATTTATATTTTTAGGGAGAGATGGTTTGATTCTTTGGTGGTTTGTATATGTATAGGTATGTATAAGAAAGAATAAATGACTATGATGGAATGGATGGATGATCGTGGCTGGATAGATTAGCTGGATAGATTAGCTGGATGGATCTTTGGATGGATCTTTGGATGGATCTTTGGATGGATTTGATTATCTAGATAGGTATTAGATATTAGGTATTAGATATTAGGTATTAGGTATTAGATATTAGGTATTAGGTATTCGATATTAGGTATTAGGTATTAGGTGTTAGATATTAGATGAAAGTTGCTTGATTGATTGATTGATTTATAAGTATTTGGTTATTGGGGTTAGGGAGGAGTGGCTGGGAGAGTGAAAGGGAGGAAAGTGAAAGGGGGGAGAAGAAAGAAGAGGAGAGGGAGAGGGAGAAAAGGTTTGAAGGAGGGAGAGAGAGTTAAAGAGTTAAGAAAAGAGAAAGAAGGATTGAAAAGGAGAGAATAAGCGAGAATGAGGGAGAAGAGAAAGGGGGTGGAGAGGAGGGGGAGAGCGTTGAAGAGTTAAGAAAAAAGAAAGAAGGATTGGAAAGGGAGAATAAGTAAGAATGAGGGAAAAGAGAAAGAGAACAGAGAGGAGGGGAGAGGAGAGAATGAAGGGGGATGCTTAGAAGATTTGAAGAAGAAAAAAAGGGAGAATAAGCGAGAATGAGAAAGGAGAGATAAGAAAAGAATAATTGAAAAAGATGAAAATAAAATAAAAAGAAGAAAAAGCGAGAATAAAAAGATTAAGGAATAATAGATAAACGTATAAGAGAATAGATAAGAAGAGAGAGAGCGGAGTAAAATTTGAAAGAAGAAAGGAGAATAAGAGAGAAAGGGAAAGAGAAAAGTAACAAGAGATGAGAAAGAGAGAGGAGAGGAGAGGGGTAGGATTTAATTTACTTGACTTTGATTTGTCTGATTCTATCTAATGATATGATATTGATATTGATATTGATATGATATTGATATTGATATTGATATTGATATTGATATTATTCAACTATGACTAGAAATTGAATTTAATTAATCTTGATTAATCTTACAAGATAATAAAGTAATGAAAGAATAGAACAAGATAATAAAAGATGAAATTAAATATAGAGTAGAGTAATCAGATAGAATAGGAGAGATGAGATGAGAGGAGATGTAAAATATAAAGTGAAGTAAAGTAATAAGATAGGAAGTAATAGAATATAAAAGAATATATTGAGATAAAGAGTAATAGGATGAAATAAGATATAAAATATAAAGTGGAGTGATAAGATAGAAAGAAATGAAATATACGATGAGATATAAGAAATAAAGAACGGTAAGATTTAAATTCAAATTCAAGTCTTAAATTAGATTTAAAATCTAGATTTCTAAAATTCAGAATAAGATTTTTGAGGATTGATTGATTAGATTAAAAGGAGAGTGATAAGGAGGTGAGAAAAGGAGGAAGATGAGGAGGAAAGAGGGAAGGGAAGGGAAGAAACATATAGTATCTATCTAATTACAGAGGAAATGAAATCTATTTTGGGGGAATTGTTTTAGTTGAGAGAATAGGGGAGGAGGATGATGATTATAGATTTTTATATACTTACTAGGTATTTATTATGAATACAATTCTGTTTCCCGAGAGGAGAGATGAGGGGAAAGACGGAGGAAAGATAGAAGAAAGGGAGGAGGTTAATATTCAGATTGTGAAATAACAAATGAATAAACGAATAAAAGGGGTAATATCCGTTCTGAAGTTTATGCATTTTATACATTAGTATATGTATGAGGAAATTAATTTGATGGAAATATCTCGATTAAGTGTAAATTTATGAATGAATAGGAGGAGAGAAGGGGGAGGAGGGGGAGGAAAGAGAATCGATAAGGTTTGTAGGGGTTTGAGGGTTATTGAATGAATGGATGGTTGAAGATTGAGAAATATTTTAGCTGGGTAGGTAGATAGGCAGGTAGATTGGTGATTCAATGTGATGATAGGAAATGCGAGAGTTGAGAGAGATGAGATGATGAGATGATGAGATGATGATAATAAAAGCCCTTGAAAAGAAGAAGAATTCATATGTCCCTACACATTCAAAAAGCAGAATAGAAGATGAAATCTCCAAAGAATAAATCAAGAAATGGAAATATATATATTAGTCATTTTCACAGTCTGGTTACTCAAGGGGTTTGAATCTGTAGGTAGTGAGTGAGTAGGTAGATAGAAGATATGTGCAAGTGGAGATTTATATTTATATATGTCTGTAAGAGATGAGAATGCATTAATTTCTAGTATCCTATCCTATCCTAGTACGTCTACACTCCAATTCAATGATCTATATCTACAAAGTGCAGCTTTTACCCTTGGCCCTATGCCGATAATCACCCAGAAGTTCTATGACTCTCAATCAATCCTCTGTAGATTTCAAGTAGAATCATAAGATGTATACCCAATCCAAAACAAAACTCCATTTCCAAGCCAGCCCAAGAAGGTCCCTTGAATAATACCCATTCTATTCCATTCCATCTTATACCCTTCTAACAGTGAAAACTTGAGATAGTTCTTCTGACTCCAAAGCGCAAAGATAAGTGGATAGCAACCATTGACGCCCTGACCCATAATGTACAGATACTCAGATAATGCGACGATGGGCATGTTGAGCACCATATTAATCTTCCAACCATATGTAAGAATAGACACAGCTAATTATAGACTCTTTCTACCCTTCCCTCCTACCCTCCCTCCCCCAACAATTACTCAACCTCATCCAATTCCTCCTCCTCTATCTCCATTCCCCCATCTCTCTCCTCATCTCCTCTTTCCAGCACCCTCGACATCCTCGACACCCTCCACATATCCCTCACCTCAACACTCACCAACAAACCCACTCCCAAAAGCAACGGAATATCAACCACAGCAGAAGTTCTCTGCATAGGTGTTTTCTTCCACCACCATACTCTCATCCTATTCATTGGATTTGTCAATGATGAACGGGCAGCTAGACGAGCGAGATGAGATGGAGGTGGTGGACGGGGAAGAAGTGCTCGGTCGAGACGAATGAGGGTTTTGATTGTTTTGCGGAGGAGGAATGAGGGTGGCATTTCTTCTTTCTTTGAATGTAATGGGTGGGTGAAGATGGATGAATGGATGTGGTGTGTAGATATGTGCGGTGCGGTGCGGTGTGTGCGTGTGTGGTGTGTGTAATATAAAGTTGAAGTGTTGGTAGTAATAGATTGTAATTGTATAATGAAATCAATATAATTTGAAGTGGTATTTGATTGTTGGAAGAATCGATGTTGTAGATGTAATAGTAGTGATCGATGTGGTGTATTATCATTCCGTATTCAATAAGAAAGAAGAAGCAGAAGAAAAAGAAGAAGAATATACATATCGAAAGACGAACCTGTCCCGGAGAATTTTCTTACTGTGCCGGCACTAAGATTTTAGGGCAAGTACGGAGAACTATTCGATTGAGTTTTGCAGTTTTAGTCTCTGAATTGCTGTATGATTGACCGATAGATTCGGTTTGTGGTGTTGCTCTGCAATTTGCAGATTTTAGATGTTAGATGGTAGGTAATGAACGGTGGATGATACTGTAGATGGCGGACGAAAGACGGAAAACAAGCGACAAAAATTCCTCCCTCCTTCGATTCTAAAAATCGAAATTTATCTGAGAAACTCAGTCCTTAGATAAATCCGACAGCATTATCGAGTTGAAAAACAATATCATCCGACCATCTCTTATTTCTAGGTCCTATGACAAGTGCCGGCATACCACCTACATCACCACCATCCCCATCTCCTCCTTCACCCCCCTTTCCTCTTCTCAACAATTTCTCCCTAATATTTTCATCAGCAACAACCCCAATAATTCCCCCTACAGCCAATACAATAGGAATTCTCTTTCCGAAAGCAAACTTCTCCCCCTTTAATTTCTTAGCCCACCATTGATATATTCTCGTTTGAGGTGTAATTGTGGGGGAGGAATCCAGATGGCGGGGTTGAATGATGCGAGATCTCGGTTGGATATGTGGGAGAGAACGACATGGATGTGTATTGAGAGAACGAATTGGATTGTAGCGAGCACCCATTTTTACGTCCGTGTGTGTGGATTTTTGACTGGAGTGGAGTGGAGTGTCTGTTCGATATGTACTGCTCCTGGCACGATTTTCTTTCGGTTGTGAGAATAGGAGAAGTTATCTTTCGGTGTAGATTCGATATCGAAGAAAGGAAGTAGTTTTCACAATTGAATGATTTATGATTAAGAATTATAAGTTATAAGTTATAAGATTAGGATTTTGTATGACGAATAAGAAATGAAAAGAAATCTATTGAGAAATTATTTTTATATCTTTTTTACATTGTACACTACTACTGTACCAACCCACCAAGCGAGAGGTCCATTAATACCTAGTCTGAGTTAGTGCGACACTACCCCACCACCCATATGAATCATTCGAGCTTTGAATCCCAAAAGTTGAAGAGTCATTATTTGACTCAATTTCTGTAAAATCATTCAATTGAAATAATTTCAAATTCTCAAAACATTCACCACAGTTCCATTATCTGGAAGAATAAACTCTAAACCTCACAATTACCAGCACATTCATCCGTTTCACCAACTCAATCAACAATGCCATCCCGTTCAGAAATCACTTATTTCGGCGCCGGTCCCGCCCTCCTCCCCACCGATGTCCTTGAAACCGCAGCCGCAGCCCTCGTAGATTACAATGGTACCGGTCTTGGTTTAGCAGAGCATTCGCATCGATCTGAACTCGCCGCCAATGTATTGAATACCGCGAAAGCAGATTTGGCAAAATACTTGGAGGTCCCAGACGATTATGAAATCCTCTTCATGCAAGGAGGTGGCAGTGGAGAGTTTTCCGCAACGATATACAATTTAGTTGGAGTCTGGGTTGAGAAGAGAAAACAAAAGATTCTCAAGGGCTTGGGCATTGCGTCGGATAAGGATATTCCAGAAGATGCGCTGGTAAAGGAACTTCAGAAGGCCGTGGATGAGGAGCTTAAAATTGATTATTTGGTTACGGGATCATGGTCTCTCAAAGCTAGTCAGGAGGCAGCGAGATTGATAGGCGCGGAACATGTCAATATTGTTGCGGATGGACGAAAGATCAATGATGGGAAATTTGGAAAGATCCCCGAGGAAAAAGATTGGAAACTCTCGAAGAACCCAGCAATGGTATACTATTGCGACAACGAAACGGTCGATGGAGTCGAGTTCCCTGGCTTCCCAAAATCTCTGGAGCCAAATGGAGAAGAAGATGAACCCATCGTAGTAGCTGACATGTCTTCCAATATCCTCTCGCGACGAGTTCCCGTCAAGAATTTCTCTGTCGTCTTTTTCGGTGCACAGAAGAACTTGGGATGTACAGGAGTCACCGTGGTGATCATCAAGAAGAATCTCCTCCCCCCTGTCGTCGCAACACCTGCTCCAACTCTCCTACGCAAACTTGGACTACCAATTGGTCCCATTGTTCTCTCTTACGAAACAATCGCCAAGAACAACAGTCTCTACAACACCTTAAGCATATTCGAGTAAGTCTCTCCATCCCACCTCCCCTTACCCAACATCCCACTAACACCCCACCCAGTGTCTACATCGCCGGACTCGTCCTCCAAAAACTCCTCACCACCTACCCCGACGGCATCGCCGGTCAAGAAGCCCTCTCCAACAAAAAATCCGCCCTCATCTACTCCGCCCTCGACGCCCACCCCTCCATCTACAAGGTCGTCCCCGACGTCTCCGTCCGCTCAAGAATGAACATCTGTTTCCGCGTCACCGCATCGGAAAATATCTCCGAAGCCGAAAAGTCATTCTTAGCAGGTGCCACAGAAAGAGGTTTGACGGGTTTGAAAGGTCACAGAAGTGTAGGTGGTATTAGAGCCAGTAATTATAATACTATTACTTTGGAGGGAGCGGAGAAGTTGGCAGCATGGATTCATGAATTTGCGGAGAGGAAGTGAGAATATTTCACAGCTGGGTTGGTGCGAGGTTGTTAGTTGTGGAAACCTGAAATGTTTGATATGAACTGTATTATATTTACAAAAGTTTTTCCATTGATAATGAAATATCGAGTTTAAAAGTAGTAATACTCGTCCTCTTTTTAGATGATCTGTAGATTAGTACAGCACACCTTTTCATCCAAACCGGCGATTGAGTGACGGGGCCATATTCTACAGGGAGTTTTCGTCTATGTGTATGATTCAGAGCATGCATTGCATCCCTAACAGCAATGCATCGTATTAAATCACATTATCGCTCATCGTCAATAGAGCACCGTTCTTTAAGTATATTTCATATTCCATTACGCTCGTGGAAGATACCTATGCAGATATGCATTTCTACCCCCTGATCTACTACTCAATGCCCACAACTCATGGCCGGCATCTCATGCATCCATTGATTCCAGGGGAAACTAAGTGGCCAATTCATAAATCGGCTACTAGCAATCTGCAAATTATATCTTCGTCCCCATCTTCCTAGATCCATCCTACCATAGAACTCCATTCGCTGTATTTCCCATGGCTTGCCGAGCAAATCATTGGTAATCCAACCTATCCATGCCAGCCAGATGCAGACCGAAGCAAATTTATTCCAGACAAAGTCATCATAGCCTCCAAAACGCCCATCTCGTACCATACCAACCATGTTCAAGAATGAAAAGAAATATCGTACAAGGAATTTGGTAGCAAGGGAAAACAGGCTCGAAAAGAAATCATGGATGCTAAAAAGCAAAGATATTGTGATCTACTTTTCCCTAGCTAACCATTTTTTCAATCAAGAATCCAGGTAACTCGGTCTAGGAACAGGTGCTACACCGCTAAGATAACTTGGTCCGGAGAATGACGAGGTCATTTGTCTTTTTGGTGGAGGCCTTGCAGGTGATTCTTCTTCATCACTACTGCATAGATCAATAACTTCCGAGATGGGTCTTTTACCACCTGTTGATGAGTTCAATGGATTAGATCGATTGGATGGTGCTGCCGATAAGGAGTCGCGACTAATTTGTGCTTGATTCAAAGTGCCGTTTGAAGTTCCATTCCTAGTAATTGGTGTACTGGCTTTTCTTCCACCTGGGGAGACTTCGATCAAGTCATCATCGTCATCAGAGAAATCGCTTGAAGCTACACCGGGTCGTGATGATATGGCATCGGGTCTGTTGTAGAGTTTCCACTGTCCTTCTGGTTCAACTGTAACTTGATCAACGGATCTTGATGTGTTTCGTAATATATCCTTTACATATCTTTAAAATCTGTCAGCAAACCTGATCCTGCCTATAAAAGGATAATCAACTTACTCATCAACGACTAATGTCTCAAAAGGTGCAGAATTGTTGCATATTGGACATAGCCAAGTCGGTCCTTGTTCTTGTAATTGAAGATAGGAAGTAGCATCAAAACATTGGTTATGCCTACACGATATTGATCGAATAGGTAAATCAATTCTTAAAGTTGACAATGGACACTTCAATGATAGAACTGAAGCAGTGGCCACAATGTCCGCATCTCGTGACTTATTGATCACTTTTGTAAAATTAGGTTCCAGAACACAAATTTTGAGGGAAGGGCATCTTACTCTCGTTGATCACAGATTCCTTCGTAATTTTCTTGCCACCCTGTAATCGTTTGACCAAGTCTGGGACAGGAATTAACTTGACCACATATAAAACCAAATAGAATTTCTGAAATTTTTGTTAGCACTGTAATTCCGCGGAACAAAAGTTAATAAACACATTGTAAATCCTGGAGAAAAACATGGTAGGATTGCATGGTGTTTATTCACCTCTGATGCTACGAAAGCTGTATTGAGACCTGCCTTTGTAGTCAACGCATAGGTCATCTCGACGGTGTTTTGATATCCAAGAACCTTCAACCTCAGTTCCTTGGTGATATCCACCGGTCGAGTTGATCCAGGCTTGTTTTTCAATCCTCTCAAGTTTGCCTTTACGTCTCCTCCATTCACTTTGACCTCTGATTGATGAGGGAAAGCAATATCTTGTCTCCCATTGCCTTCGCTCGCACAGAATATCATTACCCTCAACGTGGGATCGTTTTGAACTTTTGACAAGATCGGATGGCTCTGAGCTTTGACTGGTATGTTAACGGTATGGCGATGTTGATTCATTGCTAATTAATCATTATTAGCATTCTTTAAATAAAACCCAGGAAAGGGAAGTATCTACCATCACACAATTTGACCTCCCCAATTTGCTCGACGATATCGTAAAATGGACTTGGTTTGAATTCAAGCTCTATGGATAATTAGATCGGGCGCATAATCCTGACATCGTGGGCTCATATACTCATTCCATAACCCATCGGCTTGTATGGCTGCATAGCTGCTCTAGGTGCAGAATAATTTATTGCGCCGTTGGACATCGAATTGGCAGCTGGGGAAGCTGATCCTTGATATGGACGTGAGTGCACTCCAGCAGCTGCAATCTCTGGATGATCTATAATACGCCCTAGCCGATTGAATTTGATTTGGTCTGGCGTATTCGCATAGAGTCTGATTCCTATAGCGAAAGAAAGGAATCGTCAGCTTTGTCCTCTCTTCTTACCAGCTGTTGTAGAATCTTGCGCCGGTAGACTGTAGTGTGAGACTACGCAGTGCGGCAACAATTCGCGATGCGATTATCAACTTCTTCAAGATGCAAACGACTTACTATCAACAATTCTCGTCTGTAATTCTGCCTTGACACCATTTACTTTCATATCCTCAGCTAAACATATGTTCTTCAGTGTTTGGTTGAGCATGCCACCATTTTTCACCTTTCGTACATATGGTTCTGGGTCGAGGAAACTACCACCCCCCATCGAGGCCATTTCCTATCCTTGGATGGTGCTGAACAAGCTAAACAATTAGTTCTTGAGGAGTTTAGAAAATCTTGGAGATGGTGAACATATGTTAAAATGGTAAAGAGAGAGATGTTGATTTTCCTTACAGTATTGACGACGGCAACAAATTGATCTTTGTTTTGTTCTTCCAAATACTCCTTTGCTCTTTCGCCTTTCTTGTCGTGGAATAATAAATTGTGAAATTCAATGTTCAACTCCGAGTCGTAATAGAAGGAGATCACGAAACTGAATTAGGCAGGCGGTAAATGATGGCTACCTGGCAGAATAAATTTATTGGATTTAGATTTTGCCGCTAAGATAAAAGATTAATTGAGTGAGGGAATGGAAATCTATCAAAATCATTCATTGCGCTACTTGGAGAAGAAGTTTACATCGATTTTTCTACAATCTACCACAACATTCAACAATACTCTCCAATATCCTACAGTTTATTCTTGTATCATATCCAAACACAACAATGGCTAAGGGTGCGCGCTCAAGTTCTATCAAGGCAAACAATTCCGCCTTGAAAGCCAAAGTCTTTGGTCCGGTCGAGAATGCACGAGCAGAGAGATTGAATGCGAAACTTATGGAATTGATTTCGCAACCAAAGCCATCAGCGAAGACAGAAGATGTGAGCATGGAAGCAAAAGAGGGAAAGGGCGAAGAGGGTATGGAATAAACATTCCTTTTACAGGATTTGTTCTCTGATATTTTATTTAGCATCTGCAAAAGACACCTCGAAAGCCACCGCCGCATCTCAAGAGAAGCCATCCGAAGGTATTTGAAGACTTCACAATCTAGCGCCTACTCGAATCTTTGACTGACATATGAAACTGCAGAAATGGAGGTAGATGCCATCAGCAAGGTTGGCTCCAAGTCGAAGAATCGCATTTCGAAGAGAAAAGTTAGCAGTCGCAAATCCCAAATGACTTTCACTACATACAAGAACGGAAAGAAAGTAGGAGGAGGTAGAAAGCAAAAGATCTATTGAGGACCTCAGCACTGAGAGGTTTCAAGTCGAAAATCATCAATTATAATATATAGGCGCATCGGAATATTTGGTTTTGGGGGGCATGGAGTTCATGGTGAGGGTTTTGTAACGCCTTCTGGCAGATAAAATTGAGGAGTAGTTCAAAGGACTTCGAAATGTTAGATTATACCAAGAATTTGAAAGGTTCAACCTTTCCGCCGTCCCCAGTATACCAAAGACCCTTCCCCTCACACACGCATTGCACAAAAAATATCTGATTTATCCATGTCGACTGATAAGGATTTCTTATCCAAGACGCCAAAACGCGTTCGCCAACCTGACACCTAGCTTCTCTCAATACGAACTTCTTAAATTATTCTCTTACATAAATACAAATGGCAGAGAATAGTTTGAACGACATAGTTGTCTTATTCTTCAGCTAACATATCATTGATTCCACACAAGCAATCAATGGGTCAGGACTAAAAGGCACAAGATGGCCTCAAGAATACGAAACTCTTTGCTCGTGGTAGCAAATGTTCTCATTCCAATTGCTATATTGATATTTGCTAGTGGTTTCTTTCCTTACAAGCCCTTTCTATCTGGATTGGCACAGTATGAGTCTCTGGAATATGGTGCTCCCCCGGAAGCTCCATTCGATAAGGTCATCTTCATGGTTGTTGATGCGCTGAGAAGGTAGAAGCTTTGCAGCAGAGTTTGGCATGAATGCTAACCTTAACAGCGACTTTGTATTTTCAAATACTTCCGGATTCCAGTTTACTCAAAGGTTGATTGCATATCTGCAAGCTCTTACAAACCAAACTAACTCTTTCTGTAGTCTCATTTCGAATGGCGCAGCTCTTCCATTCACAGCTCATGCGACGTCTCCTACCATTACTATGCCAAGAATAAAAGCCATAACAACGGGTTCTATACCTTCATTTCTCGACGTGATTCTGAATTTTGCTGAATCCGATACATCCTCTTCTCTGGCGACTCAAGATACATGGCTAGCACAAATGAAAGCAAAAGGAGGAGGAAAGATGATCATGTATGGAGACGATACTTGGTTGAAGCTATTCCCGGAAACTTTTGACAGAGCAGATGGAACTTCAAGCTTCTTTGTTTCGGTCAGTCATCCATTGGCTGAGACTGTACATAGAATGAATGTAGCTGAATATAAATTTCTGTTAGGATTTCACTGAAGTGGACAATAATGTGACCAGACATGTTCCGGAGGAGTTGATGAAGGATGATTGGAATACTATGGTTCTCCACTACCTTGGACTAGATCATATTGGTCATAAAGCAGGTCCACGGAGGTGAGATTTTCTATTGTGAGATTTCGACACGGGAGACTAATCCCTTGACTAGCCCGAATATGATTCCCAAACAGCAAGAGATGGATGGTATTGTCCGATTAATCTATGAGAATATGGAAACTCAAGATTACCTGAGCTCGACCCTTTTGGTGTTGTGTGGTGATCACGGAATGAATGATGCTGGTAATCATGGTGGATCTGCTCCGGGAGAAACCTCCCCAGCTCTTGTCTTCATGTCGCCAAAATTTAAGGACCTTAGGCATGAGCGTCAGCGGCTCGAGGTACCTGCTCCATTTGAAGAGGAATTCCAGTATTATAAAACTGTTGAACAATCTGATATTGCTCCTACACTTGGAGCTCTGCTTGGATTTCCTGTACCAAAAAATAATTTAGGAGCATTCATTGATGACTTCTTACTATTCTGGCCTGAAAGTATGTTTGTCTATTCCCAGTCAAGCCCGTTCGCTAATTTTCAACAGGAAACGACCGTGTTCAAATTTTGTTGAGAAATGCTAGACAGATTCTCAGCGTTGTCACTGCAACATTTCCATCATTTGAAAACGATGGGCCTTCCGAGAACTGCCACCAACTATCAAGTAGTGTCGATGACTTGGCATGCCAATGGAGAAGCATTACCCAAGGCCTAGTTGGTCTTCAAGCTAACGAGCAAGATTATGCTGTTTGGGTCGCAGCCGTCACAAAAGTAGGTCTTACTTAATGACCATGCTCAATATCTAACAGAATCTTAGTGGTTGAAGGAGGCCCAAGAGCTGATGAGTGGCACTGCTAGTAATTACGATGTCAAAAAGTTAATTACTGGTCAAGTTATTGCTGCTCTGGCTTCGGTTATGGCAGGAGTTGCGGCAGGGCCATTCATTATGAACAATCTTAAAGCCAGCATTCCATTTATAGCTACCTGCTTGTCCTACGGTATCATGATGTTTGCTAGTAGTTATGTGGAAGAGGAACAGCATTTCTGGTATTGGACGACTACAGGGTGGTTGTTTCTCTTATCGATCAAGAAGTATGATTCTCTTAATCTTGCCCCTCGATTCAAAATTAATGAAAAACTAGTATACGTCGCCAATCTCGTGGACTCTGGCTATTGAACATCAGCTCCATAATGATTCTCGTCGCCACCAGAATTGCTAGACGCTGGAATCAAACAGGCCAGAAATTCGCTGGCGATCCTGATATCGCTCGAACATTTTTCTCTCAACATCGATTGACGCTATGGACACTTGTAGGCGCTACATATCTTTGGAATCTTCAATCACTCGCTAGTAAAGGATTTCCTCGTTTCCCACAAATTCTTGCTGGTGTTATTTCAACACTTTTGGCGACCGCAGCAATTACATTCAAACTTGCATTTACAAATGAAGATTCACCTGAACTTCTTGCAGGCATAGCAAAGACTATGGCAGACAATGATACTGGTATTCCACTTGTTCTCCGGGCAAGACTGGTCTTTATTGGGATTGCATCTTGCCTAGCATACACCGTGTTATCTAGTTTTAGCCCATCAAGTAAACGACAGAATTGTAAGTTCCTTTTCTTCACTGCCGCTGCAAAGTGCTCTCGTAACTAACCAAACTCAAGTTCCCATGCGCACGATTCATGATCTCATAGTCCTGCTTCTAATAACTCAAACTCGCGCAACCAACATCCCACTGATTCTAGTCTTTGAACTTCAATACTCACTCCTCTCAACCCTTGATCTCTCCCTCATAGAGATCACAACTACCACCCTCCTCCTACAACAAACTTCCTTCTTTGCTCTCGGAAACTCGAACGCGATTTCATCAATCGATCTCTCGTCTGCCTATAACGGCGTTGATTCCTACAACGTCTTCGCAGTCGGCGTCTTGATTTTCATTTCTAATTGGGCTGGTCCTCTTTACTTCACATCAGCTGGTAATCTCCTACTCTTGAAGTTATGGAAAAAGGACGGAGTGAAGCGAAAGAACGTTTGGAGTAATCATATAACCCTATTAACGATATTCATAGCAAGTAGCTTGACGGCGACGATGATAGCCTGTACGGTATTGAGAACGCATCTTTTTATTTGGACAGTTTTTAGTCCCAAATTTTTGTATACCATGGCTTGGAGTGCGGGGATGCATTTGGGAGGAAATGTGTTAGTTGGTGGAGGATTGTGGTCTTTGGGGAGGATGCTGAGTTAAGGGAAGGTGGTAGAATTGTAAGAATAGTGTTGTAGAAGAGGAAAGTTGAGAAAATTTCTACTCTTTAGAGATAGGCGGGGAAGAACGTTGAAGACAACTGTCAAAATAGAAGCAAGCCAACTTTTTGTCAAAGTCTAATAAATCGGCAGTAGAGCTTTGAAGTGTTTGGAATTTCTCTGATACTATGACAAATGTGTCATAAGAATCTTAAAATTCTCAATGTGAATCAAAATTGACTCGCTTGTATTATTGCTCGATAGGGGTGTCAAATTTACCAATTATTCCTGGAATTAGATCAAACCAGCAAACAAATCTTCGATAGCGTCCCCACCCTTCTTTTTCCTCTTCTTCTTCGGAGGCTTCGCCGGCGTCGAATCTGAGGAAGCTAGTTTGGAAGTCTTCGCCTCCACTACTTCACCATCCTGTTTCCTCTTCTTTGGTTTTGCTTTCTGAATATCAGTGTCGTTTTCCTCTTTTCTTTCCACTCTTTGGCTATCTTCCATTTCTGAGACTGGAACATCTCTCACGATCTTCTCCCCCATATCCTCTCCTATCTCTGCCTCATTCAATTGTGGCGTCTCCTTCACAATTCCTGCTTGTTCGGCAATTTCCTCTGCAGTTAAAACTCTCAATGCACCGAGAACTTTATAGAATCGCGCCAAACATCCCATTAACATCAATCCTAAAGTAGCATATTGATTATTGGCTACTAATTGACTGAATGCCCTATTTCTCACTCATTAGTAATTTTCCCGCAAAAATCCTTTACCATCTCTACTTCTCCAATCCAACCACGAACAAAAAAACTTACAGATAACATCCAGGTACCACATCCTCTTGAATAAATCTAACCAGACTCTGTAATTCCCTCTCTTCCCTCTCTTTTCGTTCCCGAGCTTTCCCTTTCACCTTTCCACGTGATGATTCCATCACATGTTCTGGGATCATAGATAGGAGGCGAGATACTTGGCGGCGGAGAATTCCAAAGGATATGTACCATTTTGAGAGACGGTGCTGGTTTTTATTGCGGTGGTGTGTGAGATGAAGGAGGTGAGTGAGTGAGAGAAGGGATGCATGGTGTGGATTTGGGGTTAGTGTGTTCATTTTCGCGGGGGATTTAAAAAGTAATAGTGGTTCAGTGATTTGACTCTGGGTTTGAGGATTTTCTTATTTTAGGAGACTCAACTTGTGTGGGAGCATCATCGTTTTGCGTGGTATGAATTTTGGTAATTCATGATGACGGAGGAAAAAGACATAGAAGGTAAGGCTTTAAAATTGTCAGCCTTGCAGGAAGGCTGGTGCACGGACTACACGTCGAGAACAAGTATGCAGACCAGAGCTTCATTGACAGCCTTGACACATGCGACATGCGAAGTCTAGAACCTCGAATAATGATATGAACAAGACTATCGATTCCATGAACTTCCAATACATGTTAATTTGTAATTTATGAATAACCAGATATAATACGAATTCCAAACATTGTCTAACGCCAAAATGGCAGCTACAATTCCCCTCTCCACTACAACATGCTTGACCTCCTCAGAAGCATTCAAATATCCGCTTCCCCAGATTCGCCAATTCCATCGCGATCTCACTACGGAGCTTGACGAGAAAAATGCACGTCTGCGAACACTGGTCGGGGGTAGTTATAGACAACTCCTTGGAACCGCGGAGCAAATCTTACAGATGCGCCAGGATATTAGCGAAGTAGAGGAAAAGTTAGGAAAGGTAGGGGAAGGATGTGGGAGAAATGTATTGGTTGGAATGGTTGGCGGATTGGGAAAGTTACAGAGCGAAACGAAGAACGGGAAGAAGGGCGAGGAGATGCGGGTTGTGGCTAAGATGAAGGTATTGGGAATGTGTGGGATTGTAGTTGGGAAGCTCCTGAGGAGACCAGGAAGAATAGAAGGGGATGGTGGGAGAGGGAAGGATTTAATTATTGCTGCGAAGGTATTAGTTCTGAGTCGATTGTTGGCGAAGAGTTTGGAGAATACGGGAGATAAGCAGTTCGTCGAAGAAGCGAAAAAGAAGAGGTCGGTTTTGACGAAGCGATTGTTACGTGCAGTTGAAAAGACATTGGTTTCCATCAAAGATGCTGAAGATAGAGATGATCTGGTACAGGCACTTTGCGCATACAGTTTAGCTACTAGCTCTGGCACGAAAGACGTTTTGCGACATTTCTTAAATGTTCGTGGTGAGGCAATGGCTTTAGCGTTCGACGACGAAGAGGAGAACAAACAAACCTCAGGTGTTTTGCGAGCTTTGGAAATATATACGAGAACTCTTCTAGATGTACAAGCTTTAGTGCCAAGGAGGCTGAGTGAAGCCTTAGCCACACTGAAGACGAAACCTTTACTGAAAGATGACAGTATTCGAGAGTTGGAGGGATTGAGGTTAGATGTGTGTGAACGGTGGTTTGGTGATGAAATTCTTTACTTCACACCTTATGTTCGGCATGATGATTTGGAAGGATCGTTGGCAGTTGAAACACTAAAAGGTTGGGCGAAGAAAGCGTCAGAAGTGTTACTGGAAGGCTTTTCGAAGACTCTCCAAGGAGGCTTGGACTTCAAAGTGGTTGTTGAACTACGAACGAAGATACTGGAGGTGTGGATTAGGGATGGAGGCAAAGCAAAAGGATTCGATCCCTCTATACTTCTAGATGGCCTGCGAGACGTTATAAACAAACGACTCGTAGAGTTATTGGAAACTAGAGTTGGTAAACTCCATCTAGTGGGGACGGAGATAGAGTCCACGTTGGCAACATGGCAAGAAGGAATCACCGATCTACATTCAAGTCTTTGGGATGAAGATATGATGGCAACCGAGCTCAGCAATGGTGGTAATATTTTCAAACAAGACATACTTGCCCGCACGTTCGGACGCAACGATGCCGTTTCAAGAGTCGTTAACAGTTTTCACACTTGGAGACATCTTATTGAGGAAATTGGTACTTACATTGATCAACTGAAAAAACAAAGATGGGATGATGATTTGGAAGATATGGAAGATGATGAGAGTCTCGAATCACGACAAAACCTTCTTAGCAAGGAAGATCCACAAATGCTACAAGACCATCTCAATTCGAGCTTAGAAAAATCGTTCCAGGAATTACACAACAAGATCACATCACTCGTGGACCAGCATAAAGATAATAAATCTATTGGAAAAATATCGGTATACATCCTCCGCATTCTACGAGATATCAGAGCAGAGTTGCCCAGTATTCCTACACTGCAAGAATTTGGAATCTCACTTGTCCCATCACTTCACGAAAATCTCGCAGGCATGGTCTCAGAAAATTCCGTCTTAACTCTTGCAAGATCTCTTAAGAAAAAGAAGGTTGCAGGTAGAGCATTATGGGAAGGCACACCGGAACTCCCTGTCCAGCCCTCCCCAGCTACATTCAAATTTCTGAGAGGTTTATCGTCTGCTATGGCTGATGCTGGGGCAGATCTATGGAGTCCTATTGCTGTCAAAGTGTTGAAAGTGCATCTGGATTCCCAAGTTGGAGACCAATGGGGTATAGCTCTGAAAGAAAAAGAGGAAGTTGCTAATGATGGAACGACCGAATCTCTTACCGAAGTACCAGGAACAGATGTCGAGGAAAAAGAAGGGAATGCTCCTGCTCCTGCTCCTGTGGTAGAAGCAGATGAAGAAAAACAGAAGGATTTACTAAAGCAATCACTATTTGATATCTTTGTCTTGCAGCAAGCTTTAGCATCACAATCGGATGACGAGGAAAACAAACTTACGAAATTAGCGGATGAGGTGGAGGCAAAGCTAAACCTTGAGGGGAGAGAAAAGAAACGTGTGGTTAATGGCGCGGCAGAGTATTGGAAGAGGTGCAGTCTTTTGTTTGGACTTTTAGCGTAGATCTTAAATGGATAGATGAGAAGACACTTATAATGAATGTTACGAATAGCTTACTTTTGGGCATTTATCCTTGTGAGTTCAATAGACTGAGGCGTCGGGCTCGTTAAAGCCGATTCTGTATATGAGCATAATTTGACGATTGTGAAGAATTTAGCTAGCTACATAGGCGCGTTCCATCTTTTCTGCTGCCGTTTAATTTTTCTAATCTACATTTGCTCGATTGCCATTTTTTGTTTTGCATTTGCCTGGTATTGTCGCTGCTAGTACAGCGACGTCAACAACAGAATTGCGATCTGATGGTTCTTCAGGCTCTGAGTGACGACTCCCCTATGTTCACTACTTGATTTGCAATTATCACCCTGCATTATTAAAGTGATATGGGCTACGACCTAAGGGCAAAAAATGCCTTTTGGTTTATTGGCGGATTTATGGCTTGACGGAAATGTAGGTAGGAGATTATACAGTACTCTGTTTACTGATGAGTCTGTATCGCAGGAATTTAGTATAGAATAAGTAAATCGTGTCATATGTTTAGAGATTATTGTTGTACTTTACTGTACTTTCGCGGTGCGAATGTTAACATTCCTCACAGTGTAGATGATTGGAAGTTTAATGCGGTGTTCGCGAGATAGAAGATCTCTGGGAATAGGATTATACAAGAGTATCTTCTAAAGCCTTCTTAAATGCTCCCTCGAAAAACCAATAAGACTCCTGGGAGTCTATCTCCGAGCTATAATGTATTCATACCTGTATCAGTTGATCATAGTCTCTTTACTAGGTATCTAGCTTTTTGAAAGGACGACACAAACTGTTTATATGCCCAATTTCTCCATTCTCCGTACCTGTAATGACTTAAGAACTAAGAAAGAGCGCTGTGGGTAAGGAATCAAGAGACACAAATCATCTATACTAATAATCGTAAAATATACGCATAGCGAGGGGATTTCCGAAGGTACGTTTTGCAAATGAATTGGATGTTTAGATTGCAGACATGTGATCGGAAGAGGACAATCACCAAGTATTGAGTCTTGATAGTGAAGGATACATATTGCATGAGGTTTGCATATCTGCGTATCTCATGCAGATGTGTGGTTGCAATAAGAATAATATGTATACCGATGGTTCGGCTCGTCACTGATTTTGGCGGGGATCACAGTAAGCTTGTTGTTGGTAATATCTGGATTGTTCCCGTGTGTAAACCAATAGATTAGCGGTAATTGCAAGTTTGGAGAAGAGACGAATGTAACTTCTTCGCTGTACTTTGTACAAACGGAACATTCTCTCAAATACTGGCAAATCATGTTGTAGGAAACGGATGCTATGTTATGCTACGCTATGCATGTCGTCTACCTTGTTTCCCACCGGGTCTACGGCACTAGCAGTAACTCGTCAAGTCGATGACGACAAAAGTTTGAAGATCAAGAATTGACTTTCTGCCTTGCATTCACCGACATCAGTAGCCTAATCTGTGCCGCAGAGTAAGTTCACTTGAAGTATGCCCCATTATGGTGAGCGATCAGATGGTGAAGGATTTGCAAGTATGGCACTATGCGGTGGGAGAAGTAGAAAACGGCAATAAGCCTAAGCCTCACTCTGACAGGCACGCACACACATCATGATGTAAGTGGGGTGGTAGGGCATATGGAATGTACCAAGACTCGACAATGGAAGGTGGTCAAAGATGGAGGAGGCGCAGACGCAGACAGGAGGACGAGGGAAACGCGCTCGAGACGAGCAAGTCATTTTGTGACCCAAATTGACATACAGCAGCTCAAATGCTGGGTACTCGTATCCACATTGAGCCGCTTCAGGTTCTACGCAACGCTACGATCGAAGGATTCCCCACCAGTAAACCACGTTTCTTGGCTTATAAGCTTCTCCTAGTTCTTACCCGGAAATAGGGCGTGAAAGATGCCAGATCGAGACACAGAGACAAGAGGAACAGAGATAGACATCTTTGACTGTTCAAGGGACATTGTTGGGGCCAGGAAGGAATCAATCTCGGTGCTGAAAATACAAAAGCGGTATAGTCCCGGAAAGGGGGTCGAGTCATCTCACCGGAGTACTGTATCGAATCTTGAACGAATTCAAATCATATGATTTTGCTTACGAAAATAGATTAACCCTTGCAGGACCTGGTTGCCGCCTCGCTCCTCATTCATCGAAACACGAACCACTGCGAGCAATGGGAGGACAAGAATAAACGTGTCAATCTTACCGACATTCATATCTGGGTGCTGACTGTGTCGAAAGAATATTTTTATCGGGAATCTTCTGGGCGGGTAGGGCTATGTTCCACCACCAAACGGAGGCATTATTCACAACGGGTTGGACCTTCCGTTATCTAACTGCAAGCATGGGCCTTTTCTCTAACAATTCTACAAAGTATGAGATGAGATGAGACTCATATATTGAGGCAGAGCACGCTTAAATTCACGTAAGCTGACTCTCCACTTTCATGACGACAAGGTACCATTGTGACTTATTCGGACACAGAACGGTTAACGGTACAGAGTAGATGGTTGACACACAAGATGATTTCTAGGCATTGATATCAATCAGGATCAGATTTCCTTCACAAATGTTTCTAGCCGTCATATCTCGTATTTCGCTCAAGAGACCTTGGTACATGGGATGGAAATGTGCCGCGATTGATGTGCACCAGCGGCGTTCAATCACTCCGCTTGCACAACTAAAGCATATCAAAAAGAAGCCAGAGTTCCTAATGTGGTGACAATGAGGGTTATCACATCGTTAGCTGCATGCTGTAAGCCACATCGTTCTTCCCGAGATGTGATGGTGGGATGCTATCGTCAATTATTGGTACCTTTTTATCCATCTTGTCTATTATGGGAAAGCAGATGAAGAAAATAAGGGAATAGAGGCGAGAGCGATCTTGTAAGGATCCTCGAATATGTTTCCCCAATTGTTCTCATAGCACCTTCGAGAGGAACGGCAGAATTGAGGGCTGATCGTCTTATACACTACTTCTCCTTCATCAACAACCAATCGAGCCAATCTCACAACCCCAATAACCACAAAGCAGGTCGTCTTACTGATTTGATTTTTTCGATGCTTACATCCGCGGCTGATTGAAAATCTATTTTACATATAAATCATTTTGTCATCAATCAAATGGGGTGACCGGCCCCCACACTTCAGCCGATTAACTAAAATAGGTCTGGTCGGTCTAGTCTATATTTCTTGGTATCGGGTCATTAAATTGACTGAGGTATGAAAACATTCACAGTACATTTTCGGATCTTACGTTTTCATTGGTCAATTTGCGAGTACTTCCTCAGTAGTAGCCTGATGAATGCTTGTCGTCATGTACGCCCCGTGGAAAAGAGGTACAATATTCGGCTCAGACGAGACATGGGACCTGGTGGCTGGAATCATATCTCAATTCCACATTCCTTTCAGCTTGATGTTACTCAGCCTTGGAAAACCCCTAACATCTTAACGAAGCCGTTTCTCCATATGGCTTATATTCTGTTGTTAAATACTACTCATTTCACAAAGACTATTGTTCTCTCTTGTTTCAAAAAATCACTTTTTAATTTCTCTTTGCTAAGTTTACTCATATATATATATATATCTTCATAGCTAGCGTTATCCGTTGAAGATCTCAGTCGATCATCAGAAATCCCTGCTGCGCGAGTGTATCGACATTCGGATCTCTAAATTTTGTTTCACTATTGAGCTATCAATACTTCAATTGAGGTTTCAAGTGTAACAGATTTCCACTGGTGTACCGAGACTGGTACAAATCTCATCATGGCGACATCTGAGCCCTTAGAGTTTCCCAATATGCCAAACGGTAAACAGCGGCGCAATGGGATCAACGCCAATGGGAAAGAACATGAACCAAATGGTGTCAATGGCACTAATTCAAGTAACGGTCAGAACGGTCATTATCATGAAGATAGTGGACTAGATGAATCTTTTGACGTTCTTAAAAACATCAATGGTCACACACAATCAAATGGGCATTGTTCAAGTGATGACGAACACCGGCCTCTTGACAAATCACATCGAATTGAATCTTTTGGTGCTCGTACTACAGCATCAGGGGGTCAAGCGAGACAACATTCTAAGATCCGGACATATACCGATGACCCAGACAGCAGAGACTTTCCTCGGATATCGAAACCTGTAGAGCTTCTGAGGAATGCTTATGATGTAGTGGTGATTGGATCAGGTTATGGTGGATCAGTTGCTGCTAGTCGTATGGCAAGAGCTGGACAATCAGTATGTCTCTTGGAAAGGGGGAAGGAAAAATGGCCGGGAGAGTATCCCAGTGGTACCAAGCACGCGATGGAGGAACTTCATGTATCAGGAAATTTTGCTCCGGGAATTCTACCGGGTGTGATGGTAGAAGAGGGAGATCCTACAGGTCTCTATCATCTTATATTTGGAAAGGGTCAAAATGCCTTCGTAGCCAATGGCTTGGGTGGAACAAGTCTTTTGAACGCCAATATATTTCTCGAGGCCGACAAAAACACTTTGGCTATGGATTGTTGGCCAAAGGAATTGCGAGAGGAAAAAGCACTAAAAGAATACTACGACAGAGCTGCATCTGTTCTCCAACCTCAAAGTTATCCAGAAGACTGGCCTGCGCTCCCCAAGTTGACATTACTGGAGAAGCAGGCTAAAATTCTAGGTATGCATGAGAAATTCTATCGCCCACCACAAACTACTCGATTCCTTGGAGGACCGAACAGTACTGGAGTTGAGATGTACCCATCTGCTTTGACGGGTATGGATTGCACGGGTGTTAATGATGGAAGCAAAAGCAGTACTTTGGTAAACTATCTCTCGGATGCATGGAATTGGGGAGCAGAAATGTTCTGTGAATGCGAAGTAAGATATGTTAAAAAACATCCAGACCCTAAACAAGAAGGTTATCTCGTATGCTTTGCATGGCATGGAAGCAATCGTGGATCTTTCAAGACGAATATTTACGAAGATCTTCTGTGGGTACATGCAAAGAAGTGCGTCTTCCTTGGAGCCGGATCCATTGGCTCAACAGAAATTCTTCTTCGAAGTAGGAGCTTAGGAATGAGCATGAGCGACAGAGTAGGCAAATCCATGAGTGGCAATGGTGATATGTTAGCTTTTGGCTATAACACCGATGAGGACGTTAACGCAATTGGTCGTGCATCCCCCGCAGCGGATAATCCTGTTGGTCCTACTATCACAGGCATCATCGACAATCGAGAGGGCCATGCAAATGTTTTGGATGGATATGTTATTGAAGAGGGTGCGATTCCAAAAGCACTTGCTCCACTATTTCAATTCATGCTTGAGAAACTTCCAGGTTCTGAAGCACCAGCGGATTTGACAACTCTTGAGAGATTGAGGCACACACTATCATCTGCAGGAAGTCGTTTCTTGGGTCCATACTACAAAAAAGGTAGTATTGAGAGAACACAAACATATCTTGTTATGAGCCACGATACCAATCAAGCCATTCTCACTCTCAAAGATGATAAGCCGTGTCTTGAGTTTCTTGGTGTGGGTCGAAGTGATCATGTCAGGAAAATCAACAACGTCCTCAAAGAAGCCACAGAAGCTGTCGGTGGAATATTCGTCAATAATCCATTTTATTCAACACTAGGCCAGCAAGAAATCACCGTTCATCCTATCGGAGGTGCTTGCATGAGCTCGGATAACACCGCACAGTATGGAGTTACCAATCACTTTGGAGAACTTCTCACTGGTAACGGTAGTGAGACATATCCTGGTCTCATAGTTTCCGATGCTGCTGTCATTCCCTGCGCACTAGGCGTCAATCCATTTGCAACAATTACAGCGCTGGCTGAGCGCTCAGTTGCTCATGCCGCGAAGAACCTCAATCTTAGCATTGATTATGATACCAGCAATGGTGTGTTGGATTTGTTCGGCGAACCGAAGTACGCTCCCATGCAATTGCAGAGTTATGGCACACAAAACTTTGAGGTCGAGGAAGCTACTAAGATGATTGATGAATCTGAAAATTCCAAGACAAGCGGGTTTGGTTTTACTGAGGTGATGGAAGGATTCGTTCATATTGGAGAGAATCTGAAGGGCGATCATCGAGAAGATTATGAAATTGCTGCCAAAACTGCTAGGGGGCTTTGCGAGGCTTCACGGTTTTTTTTGAGTGTCAAAACTTTTGATACACGCAAAAGTATGTAATTTCCCCTATTTAAATCTCATACCATTACTAACATCGCTTCAATAGTTGTTCATCGAGCAGATCATTCGGCTATGTTGACTGGCACATTCGTATGTGCTTCATTGCCCGGTAGTCCTTTTATGGTTCAACGTGGAGACTTCCAACTCTTCAGCGTCGATCATCAAGCTCCTGGTACTCGAAACCTAACATATGATTTCGATATGACCTCTACTGATGGAAAACAATTACACTTCCATGGTTTTAAAATTGTTGATTCATCAGTTGCTCTTGGACCATTGAAATTCTGGACCGCCGCATCAACATTATACGTCACCATCACAGAGAAAGATGCCAACAAAACTGTACTAGGAAGAGGAATGATGCATATCCAACCCAAGGATTTCTTATCGCAAATATTCACACTCCAGGCTTTTGGTCGTAACTTCTGGTCTAGAATTCAATCCACCACAAGCTTTATGACTTTCTTCGCAAAACAATCGGCCAATCTCTTCTTCGCTCCATTTACATATCTTCAGTACCCATCCGTCACCTACACCGGCTACATAAACGAAACTCGTCCCGACGATACTATCCAAATCGTCGCCTCCGACAATGTGAAGACCCTTCTCCACGTCTGGGAACCCCAAAATCCGAATATTGAAACCAAAAACCTCTTCTTCATCCCCGGTGCCTCAGTCGATCATCAAATCTTCGCGCTTCCAACCATTGAAGTAAATGCCATCAATTATTTCACCCGCGCTGGCTACCGCTGCTTCGTCGTCGTTCATCGTATATGTCAACTCGCGGTTGCAGAAAATAACTGGACCACCTTCGATGCGCGTCTAGATATCAAAGCCTCGCTCCAATGGATCCGCAAAGAACATGGCCATGATCCTATCTATACAATCGCTCATTGTATGGGCTCTGTGGCGTTTTCGTCCGGACTTCTAGATGGTACTATTCCCGCGAATTGGATCTTAGGAGTTACCTGTTCGCAGGTCTTCATGAACCCAATTTGGGCAACTTTGAATTTGGCAAAGGCGCTTGCGGGTCCCATTCCCTTTGACAAGTTGTATAAATTCTTTGGAGGGAATTGGTTCAGCTGTAGTAGTACGAAGGAAGATTCATATTTCCAACAAGCGGTCAATCAGCTGTTGAGATTCTATCCCGATAAGAGGTGTGAGATTTGTAATAATGTTTCGTGTCATCGCTGTTCGTTGATTTTCGGTCGGTATGTATTTTCCCTGTCCCTTACTCTTACTCTTACTCTTACTCTTCAACTTCAATGAAATTGAAATGGAATTGAAATTGAGATAGAAAACAACGCTAATCAAAATACACCCCTAGTCTCTGGAACCACAACAACCTCAACGAAGCGACACATCGTCAAATTAACCGATTCTTCTCCGGCGTCAACATGACTTGTCTCCACCTCCTCATGAAAATGGGTACCATCGGACACGTCACCGGCAACGCGCCGCTCTTCCACCCGCTCACCTCGTCTAAAAACATCCGTCGTCTTAAAGGTATCCCCTTCTTCCTCTTCTCCGGCTCGGACAACAAAGTCCTCAATCCAGAAAGTACGACAAAGACGCTCGAAATTCTGAGAGACGAGAATGGCGGAGGGACCGAGTTTGAAATGTATGAACGCACCGAGATTAGAGGGTATGGACATTTGGATTGTTGGATGGGCAGGGAGGCGTATAGGGATGTGTATCCTGAGGTTAGGGAGCGCGTGGATAGAGTGTGCAGGGGGCGGGAGTATAGGTTTGAGGGGAGTGTGGAGGGGAAGAAGGGGATTTAGGGGAGAGGGGGTTAGGATTTAGGTCGGAGAAATGAGATTTAGGCATGGAGAATTAGGGATTAGGGATTGGGAAAATGAACCCTAAATGAGAGTGACGTATGCTGTATGTAGTATTAGAAATCGGGATGGGATTGGAATCGGATTTGGGATTGGGAATAGGACTGGCTCCGGGTTTTGATATGTGGCATGAAGGATGAGGAGTTTAGGCGATGATTTGTTGTGTTTCAAGTTCCTAGGGATTTAGATAGGACCGGATTGGATTGGATTGGATTGGATACGGTTTTGATGGATTGTTCTCTTCTTCTCTTCTTTTATTCTCTCACTTCCTCTCTTCTATACCTCAAGATCTCGTTATTTCATATGATACAATACAATCCAATCCAATACATCCAATCTACTTTTACTTTTACTTTTACTTTTACTTCTTCTATTACTTTTACTTCCTCTTAGATAACCTTATATACATGAAATCTTAACATAGAATCTTGATATAAGATTATATACATACATACCATACATACATAAATACAAAATTCTCAACTATATTCATTCATCCTTCCATCCTTTCATTTTTCATCTTCTCAACTTCTCAACTTCTCAACTTCTCAACTTCTCAACTTCTCAACTTCTCAACTTCTCAACTTCTCAACTTCTCAACTTCTCAACTTCTCAACTTCTCAACTTCTCAACTTCTCAACTTCTCAACTTCTCAACTTCTCAACTTCTCAACTTCTCAACTTCTCACCTACAAATTATCAATTATCAATAAATAATCTCATATACTCTTGAATATCCAATATACAAAATACAAAATCTACTATTTCTCATCTCTCATCTATTATCTATTATCTACTGCTATCTACAAATTCTAAATCCCAATAAATCAAACACAACGCAAAAACCCCGAGATTCAGAAACTAAGAACAGCGAAAAGAGGGATATAAGAGGAAGAATGGAAATGAAGAAAGGAAACCTCTTGAGCCTCTTATAAACTTACTCCAGCATTTCAAACAGTCCAGACTACAGAATACTCGGGCCTGGTTCATTTCGACACAATCCATAGAGAAATTTCAGTTTTTAAAAATCAACTTCATTTCATTTCTTGATATCAACTCCGTGATCAACGCTATTCCATTTCCCTGTTCCATAAACTCATTGATTCTATGGCTCCGATCCGATATGAACCCACCCAATTCATTTCCTATCCTCTCAATCCCATCCCGTGGATCCAATATCTATTTTTGATTATTTCATTATTTCATTCCTGTCATCCTCTACTTCCCTCCCACCCTTCAACCTCTCCTTAGACCTCTTTTTTATCCCACCTCCATTCTTCCATAACTACCACTCTCGAAACATTCCCGAAGAAGAATAAGAAATGAAGTGAAGCCAGGAAAAGAAAAGCCTCCAAATCCCTCATCCAAAAATCGAAAGAACTTCTCACAATCTATCTAAGCAAGACGCCAACGATTAGTCAAGGAACAAGGAAATTTTTTCTGCTAGAGGCTAAGTTTCCATCGCAAACAACTTTATTCTTTTCAAGTGCCTGATTTGAAAAGTAGGAAGGAAGAAGAAGAGAGGTAAGAGATCAAGATAGGGAAACTACTTTTGTTGAGGAGGAGCATTAGCAAAGGTAACGCCCTTAGAAATGTTACCCTTAAGACCATCAAGACAGGCGGCCAAAAGTTTCTTTTCGGCGTCGTTAATGTTGGAGAGAGGGTTTTGAGCTTTTTCGGCACCGTTTGTCTATATGATAATTAGCTTCCTTAATCTCGACTTCAATAAGAAGTAGAAATAGACTTACGCCGAGTTCAACAGGAACAGAGAAGAAATCGAGGCCAGTCTCTTTGGCAATAGCCTCACCACCTGGAACACCTGGAAGGTAGACGAAAGTTGGCTCGACAATACCCTTCTCACCATTCAAGGCCTTGAGAACCTTCTCGGCGAAACTATTATCTGGTCAATGAAATCTTTTAAATTTTAGATTTTTAAACATACCGGAAGCCAGCATAGGCCATAGAAAGAGTAGCTGATCCAGCACCATCCTTAGCCTTGACAACTTCATCACCACCAAATTGAACTCTGTTAACCAAAGCATCCAATTTGTCAGCTGGGATGTCAACACTTGGCTTAGCTTGGCTGAAAAGTGGGACAATGGTCTCTCCAGAGTGACCACCAATAACTGGGATAGTCAATTCTTGTGGGTTTGCCTTTCCGACAATTTCAGCAACGAAGGTCTCAGCTCTAACAACATCAAGGGTAGTGACACCGAAAAGACGTTGAGCATCAAAGACTCCCTTGGCCTTGAGAACCTCAGCGGCAATTGGGACAGTAGAGTTAACTGGGTTGGAGATGATAAGGATATAGGCTTTTGGAGCAACATCTGCGATGATCTCAATGAGACCCTTGACGATTCCAGCATTGATGTTGAAGAGATCATCACGGGTCATTCCTGGCTTACGGGGAATTCCAGCTGGGATGACGATAATGTCGGCGTTCTTGAATGCCAACTTGGCACCATCATCCTTTGGCAAGTATCCAGTGATTTTCTGTGTAGTTGGCATAGATTAGCTCCTGATATGTCTTCCTTCCCAACACTTCCGAGACTCGTCCCATTTCTTCGGATTGTATACGTACAGCTGGGCTCGAGATGTGCGAAAGATCAGCGGCAACACCAGGAGTGTTGACAACATCGTAAAGTGCCAGCTCGGTGATGAGAGGAGAGGTCTTGAGGAGAAGAGACAATGGCTATGGGCAACACGATAACAAATTAGCAATCTATTCAATGAATCCGCCTCTTCTGAGTTTCATCCAGAAGATCCAATAAAGTAAATAGAACTCACCTGTCCGATTCCTCCGGAAGCACCAGCGACGACTATGCCTCAAATCAGTATCTTTGCCATCTCAATCTTGCATAATAAAGATACCTACCAGCTTTGAAACCCATTTTGAGATATGTGAGAGTGTGTAGAGGTATGTGTATGTGTGTATTTGTATTGATTTATTGAGGTATTGAGGTATTGAGGTATGTGATATGAGTGTGAGTGTGAGTTGTAAGTTCTGTCCAGTCAAGAATTGTTAGTAGTACTTCACGCCAAACAATCCGCTCACACCAATACCCCGCATTGCCTCGCCCATCCAACAAATTGGACCCCTCAACAACTCCAATCCATCCACCCATCCATCCACTCATCCAATCTTCACTCTTCACTCTTCACTCTTCGACTTATTAAATAGAAAGATATACTCGTACATACCTCAGGTAATTAAATTAATATCAAAGTCTTTTTTATTTCTCTTTCGATTTACTGTAATTCTCTTTTCCCACCAGAAAACAGCGAATCGGTCAGTCTTTATTCTCCAATCTGAAGTCGGTGAACTGCAAAGCTTACCTATTAAAAAGGGTCAGAAGCTCAAACAAAATGGATGATCTGGTTGGTTCTGATTTGGTTGGCTGGAGGGGTAAAAAAGTCGAAGGGTGCTTGCTATAGCGGGGCAATTCTTCCAATCTCCCTCTCTCATTGGATCCTTGGGGATACTTGGGGACCGCAAGAGGGAACTCGGGTCTTACCTTGTTACACCTGGGCAGTCGTGCGTTTCTTGGGACTTCTTGGTATTGGTAGGTTGGAACTGGACTGGTAGGTTGATAACTGAGCTGAGTGGATAGTGAATATGGATAGATGCTAAGTGATAAACACGTGTAAAGTACCGGCCGCCGGTAATGAAGAGATATCACATCACATCCATTTCAAATCGAGGAACATTGATGGTTTATATAAAAGTGCCACCTTGGGTAAGTCTGGGGAAACGGTAATCTAATTGTCTATATTGTCTACTGACCGAGGCATAATTCCCTTCGCTTCGGAAATCTACGGACGCGTCTATCGTTCTTCCCAAAGACATGTGCATTATGAGGGGAGAATGCTCTACGAATTGTTCCGGTCATCATATTCACATGTCCACATATCGCAATTTGAGCTTGGGAATGGGATGAGTACTCTTCCGTTGTGGATTGTGATGCCGATTGCTTGAGCCTTCCTTCCGCTTGTAAACATTCAATCAACTCCACCGTCTAGTCTCACAATCACTTCACAGCCATCACTTTGAACTCCATCCAGATTTCCAAAAGCCATCATGATGTAACCGATTCATTGAAAACTAGTTTGTATGTCTGTCTCAAATGTCATAAAATAGACCACTCCACTCATTAAGAGTACCTGAGGAACCAGACTAGACCCAACCAATTGAACAATAATCAATTCCCCCATTCCCCAACCAGATCAAATTGGTATCCTTTACTCTTCCTTCTCAGCAGCCTTGGCGGCCTTGGATCCTCTAAGCTTTGGTGCTGGGGCATCTTTCTTAGGGGTTTGGGATTCGAGGATAGCGGAGGAACGGGCGACGGCTTCAGCACGGAGGTCAGATCTGTATCCACCTTGGGCGACGGTCTTTGCGACACCAGCGAAGGTCCTATTTTTAGGAAAAGTTTTGTTAGTATCAATTTTCATTCCTGGGTTCGACGAGATTCCATAATTGGATCAAACGTACTTTCTGCCGGACTTGCTGTAGGTGGTCTTGTTCAAGCTAGATGCTGGCTTTTGGCTGGCAGAGGTCTTCTTGGTGATCAAAGTAACACCCTTCTCAGATGGGACAACACCGACGGCCTATCCATAGACTTAATTAGTACCACTCATTCCATTTCCATTCCGCTATTTGTCTTCGTCGTTGGGGGATCATATTCGTATCGTACCTTGTCGTTGACGAAACCAGCATACTGCAATTCAATTAGCCTTTATTCTTGTTGGAGAAACTGCGATAGAGATTGCTGTAATCATCCCGATGATTCCGTACCTTTCTGGAGTGCTTGTTGGTCAAGTTCAAGGGATCTCTGGAGAAGGTGCTTCCACCACCAGTTGAGCGCTTGACCAAGAAAGCGTTCTGGGATCCTAGATAAATTCCATAACCATCAGTAATTGTCCATCTCTATTCGATTCTCCTCCTATCTTCGCATCCTCTTCATGTTCGAAACTGCAATCCAACGATTCCCTCTTGAGTCCTTTCAACTCCCCTCAAGTCCCTTCAATCTTCGACCCCAAATTCCAATTCCATCCCTCGGCATTCCAACAATAAAAACAGGTAAACGTACTGGTAACCTCCCAGATCAAATCAGCGGAAACGTATTGAGACATCTTGACGGGTTGGTGAGTGAGAATTGAGGAAATTCTTTTGGTCGTTGGCGGTAGTCGAAATTATGTCTAAGTCTCAAGATCTTGTCGCAAAATCGTTAAAATTCACGAATCACTGAATTTGTGCGTCCAATCAGATTTCGTCTCGCTTATCCTATGTTAGTTTTCTGTCTGTTGGCCTGTTGTTGACTCTTGATGCCTTACGGCTGACTCATCACAGAGCTGCATAAATAAGGCATACAGGAAGGCATTCGTCACTCTTCCAAGCTCGAGCCAAGATTCAATCGCATGCGGAAAGGTGGCTGTGAGGTTTGGACGGTTAGAGAAATTCAATACACTCAAATTATTCGGATAAGGCGGGCATCAACTGATGAGCTGACGTCTTGTTTCTAAAAGCGAGGTTATCGCCAGATTCTTTTCTTTCCTTCTCTCAATGACTACCTTTTCTACTTAAATTATTTTCCTTTTTTGTATCGCCCATCACCTAACACCTTTGCGACTACGAATACGATTTGTTGAAAAGAGACTTGGAGATCAAGGATTCTACAACTGTTGACCAACTGCGCATGAAATTCAAAAGCCTCCGGCGACATTAAAGGTCAAGATGGCATACATACTCTATACGACCGTCTTCATTTTCCTTGTTATCTCTACTAGTAAGTTTCACTCCCCCAGGATAAACTATTTGAGACAATGAAATTACTAACACTATTCCAGTCGCCTTTATAACCCGCGATCGCTGGTCTCCATACATCCCCGAACATTACCTCGAGCGTCTCCCCCGATTTATGTACACGCCCTATCACGCACTTCCCCATTCCTTCGAAAACGACATTGAATCTGGTTTGACCTCTTCAAACTTCAATCTCTCTCAAAATCTCCTAGATTCGGATCCACGAAATGGACTTTCAGATAATGGAAAAAGAGAAATTCAGTCAATCATGAAGAAAAAGAAGGTCAACTTTGATGAGGCGAGGAGACTGTGGATGCAGGAAAGTTTCAAGAGAGAAAACATTGGACCGGATGGGAAGCCGAGGGATCCAAAGTTTGTGAGCTTTTCGTGAAGAAAGAGGGAGAGCAGATATGGATATACGTTCTTCGATGAACAAGCTTGTTTGGCCAAGAGACACGATGCGAAGGACTGTCTTATCGAGGGTTTTTATTCCAATATGGCTAAAGTCCCAAATTCCGGAGAAGACTGGAAATTAGGAGAGGGATGAAGAACGAGAGAGGACAGGCGATTGGATTGGAATACGGATCGGAGATATACCCAGGAAGGATGAGCAGGACAGACCGGAAAGGACTTGGACGGGGATGGGATCTGGGAGGCACGGAAAGTTTTGGATTTTCTAGCGACGGACTTGAATTGGTACTGGATGTCATCAAGCAAGTGAAAATGGCGTTTTGAGGTTTCGAATCCGGCATCATAGTTATTCGGGAATTACTACGTGCCAGTACGAAGGCGCATTTCTTTTTTACTCCTACAATACTTTCCTTCGTTAATTTTTTTTCCTTCCTATTTCATTTGTCAACATCGAAACCATTATTTGAAAGAAGAAGAGGGGTTATAATACCCACTTGTGTGTACATTATTATAGGGAAAAGAAGTTATTCCATCATTCCTACATGTTACTTTAGGTGTCCAACAATGTGGATTTTAGCTCTGGCAGCGAGGAATTCCTGATCAAAGTGAGTTGTGAATGTTGAGCATTTGCAAGACCCAAAACAATATCCCAACGATTTTGAAGATTAGAAATTATAATACCTAACTAACCCTCTCCTACCCAACATTTAAATCTCATAACCTGGCTGCTAGCTAGCTAACCCTTACGAATTTGATCCTCTTCGGTAAATGCTCTCCTCCCCTTTCCCCCGTCCCCTCATAAATATAATCCAGACTAGAAGCGAAACAATCTAATAGGTAGGTAGATATACACCAGAATCTAGCCGAATATTGCGAGAAGACGCGAAAGAAGAAAGTACATTGAGGCTTTGATTGATCAGTCTTGTTGCATATCTAGGAAAGATTGCTGTTATTTTTATGATTGGTGAGTATATAATCGAATAGGAGAGGAGTGCTAGATAGGTGGGTACCTAGTTTTAGTAGGAGGTTTTTGTTGCATATCTGTGTAAGGGAAATGAGTTGTTATTTTTATGATTATTGGATACTCGAGAATAGAGGAGTAGATAGGTAGATAGCGAGTGGTGGTAGTTTTTTGTTGCATGTCTGAGGGAAATCAGAGTGTTATTTTTATAAATACATATTAAGGGTTCGGCCCTCTGCATTATCCTCTTGGTAGAGGAAAGTAGTGCTTTGTTGCATATCTAAGGGAAACGGTTTGTTATTTTTATAATTATCAAGTGCTCGAGATTTTCTATGTGCTTAGAAGAGCGATAAAGTGCTGAACGAGTGGTTTTATTGCAAATCTGGAAATTGACGACTGTTTATTTTATGATTATGGCCAGCTTTGGTGACTGAATAGATGGATTCGTGGAATGAAGTGGGAAGGCCTAAAGTCCGGAGAGGGGGGAGGAAGAGAGAAAATAAAATCATGGGATTATTTGGGTTTTGGAGGCTATATAATCAAGAGGTCTGAGAGAAGCCTGTTATTTGTACATTCCCTCGACCTTGCCCTCGCCATCTTTTCATCTAAAATCTAGAGTGCGAGAAAGGAAAATCCCGTTATAAGACAGGGTGAATGGACCATTAAGATGTGAGTGCAGGTAGCAATTGACTTTGCTTTTATTGTGAAGCAATGCGATATGAGGACCTCCAAGTATATTGTATTCAACGTACGTGAGTTCTCCTAATTGCATCTGGCCATGAAGTGCCTGCTTAGGGGCCATCTCTCTTGCTATTCCCCCACAGTAAAACTTCACTACATTGATGACGTGGATCTTCTGGGCAATCTACCATCGCCCATTGCCTGAGATCCTGACGACAACATCGACAGCCGGATATGTCTACTACCATAACCGTGCTGTTTCCTAGTTTGACCAGTCCCTTCCTATGACGCCATGCTAATCATTATCTAATTCGGTTCCATACCTTGCGATGCCATCTCGCTAAATCGCAAATCGCTAAGTCGCAAATATTATTGTACTATGATGTACATTGTGGTATGGTATATCTTTATTTTTCTCGTGCTCTCTTGGCATTCGGCTCTGGGTAGTGTATAATAGGGATTCTCTAAAGCCCATCACTTCTTCATATTACAGCCGGCCGACCTATTGTGTGGTTCTGACAGCAATAGCAGATTTTATTATATTGTTTCCAATAATCCAAATATAATCATCATTTCCCCGTGGTAGTATTAACAATGCTTTTAATCTGGAATGTAGCACCCGGCAATTCAGTTGTTTCCGCTTGAACGGTAGCATTTATACCCATTGAAGCGAGAGCTCCACGAATTATGCCGCAGGGGAAGTATAAGAACTGAATGATTAAGTGTTAGCTCATTGCATTGCGAATTTTGGAGGCATGTGTGAACAAGCAAGAGATACTAACAGGCTGAGCGCGTATAACTGCATTTCCGCCTGGCTCTGTGCTCATGCGCGCAAAGGGCCGGAATGAATGGTCTGTCAGGACGTAGACTCCCTGTTCCCTCATGTCAGTGTATCAATTCATCTGTGCCAACCAAACAAATATCCGTTGCACCCAGAAAAGAGGAGAAAATACCCTATGATTCGTTTTCAGATTATCAATCTGTTTCCTAAAAACTAACATCCACAAATCCTTGCACAGAAACTTAATAACATCCAATGTATCTGTAAACCGAGGTCGGTCTTTACTAAACCGCTCCACGAGACCCAATCCAACACGATACCCGAGACTTTCGAGACGAAAAAACACTCGTTCGCGTTCTTCTTCTTCTTCCATTTTTGGAGGCGCAGATGGATTTGGAGAGGACGAAGATGGTGAAGAAGGCGCATCGAGTGCGTGTACAGTACGGTAGGCCAGAGGGACGAGTTCGATAAGGAGGAGGTCCAAACAGGAGGAATTGAGGAAGGTGGCCGTGGGGTCGGAGGCATTGTAGGGTGGAAGAGGCGATTCGAAGGACATTTTTTTGAACTATTAATAGCAGGCCAAGGTACGAATGGTTTGGTGTGACTTGTTTTGGTTTGCGCAAGGAGGATGTAGAGTTGAGTGGATGTGGTGATAGCAAGGATTGTATGAGAATAAGTAAATTGTGCAGAATTACTTTGGGGTAGATAATTTGCGAGAGTGCGTGTATATTCTGTAGTCGCAAATGTAGAGAGAGTATAAGTGATGAGTTGGTGAGGTTGCAGAGGATTGCTATGTCGGATAGCTGAGTAGCTTACTGAAGGGGATGATGCTTTTGCTGTGATGCGGCCAGAACGTCGGTAAGGTTACGGTTCGCGAAATAATATTTCCGCGCCGTGATTTTAGAATCTTCGACGAAAATCATATACATCGTGATCGTGCCAGTGAACTTATCTGAATTATTCTTTAATTCTATCTTGTGAGAAATGAATAGTTTCGAGATGCACTTAGACGTTACAAGATGTGGAATTTCACAAACTGTCTATCAATGACCAATTAGCAACACCAACTGACAGCTGTGATCAGATATCCCACCTCCAGATCTTGTAGTGAGGGGAGAAAGTTCTACCCACCCCAAGCAAATGTCTTGCTTAAGTTTTTAGCTACATTGTACGAAATAAATTTGATACGGATCAAGTTGATGTCACTGCAATTGGTATGATTATAGTTAATTGGCCATATCGATCCGGATTCAATCTAGCAGCTCAAATTGACTGCGTATGGTTCAGTCTCACAGAACATCATTCATCAACCTCTCTTGTGTAACAAACATTAGCTTAAAAAAGCTCAAGAGTTAAATGAAGGCTGGAGCCACATTTCAGTTGCTGATTCAAGCATAAAGAATCTGGAACGGGCGCAAGACGGCTACAGGCCGCCCGACGCAGTACTCCGGGCCTTGCTGCCTTATGAACGCTCCAGAATATCATTTTATCGCCATAGAAGATCTATTTTGGGAGCTTAAACTTGTATTCTTGTTGGATTGAAATCATTGGATAGGCCTTTTGAAAGATGATGAATACTAACAGTATTTGACGTACAGTGACCCACAAAAAATAAGGGCCGTAACTTAAAAACACACCAAAAATAGCCATTTTTCAGTGTTTTTAAAATCCTCTAATTCTGTATCGATTGGATATTTAGATTTCAAACTTTTAAATATAATAAATATTTAATAGAAGTTTAATTAAAAATAAATGAAATGTTTTTGAAAATTTATTTGATCTTGATATTTCGATTCGAAATCGAAAAAATCAAAAAATCAAAAAGTACAATAAATTTACTAGTAAAAATGTCACAAAATCGAAAATTTCAATTCAATCGATTTTAATTAATTATATCAAAACGAAATAATTTAGAAAAAAAAATTCGACCTTTTTTTTTATTAAAATTTATATAATTTTCTATATTCAAATGAAATTTCATTATAATAAATCTAAAGACTTTCTAAATATATAAAAATAAAAAGGTTGAATAATGACAATTTTTGGTGTGTTTTTGAGCTACGGCCCTTATTTTTTGTCTAGTACTGTAAAGAGGCCATCACTTGAGATACATAAGACTGAAATTTCATGTTTTAAAAGTACCGAAATCAACTACTTTCAATCATCTTCATCCACTAACCGAAATACAAAACGATAACTCATCTCCATTCACGATCAAACCTCATATCAACGTGTGTCATCATGTCATTGATTCCATCTTCTAAACACAAATCGAAACGGGGGTCTTCTGACCACAATAAATCTTCAAGCGCATCAGAAGCTGGCTCAGTGAAGCTCCTCACAACATACCCGGAATTCGACCAACTTGTCAAAGATCTGAAACAGTTCGACCTTTCCCTAGATTCGGAATATAACCATGGAAACAAAGGCCTCAAAGCGCATGAAAGTAATTTTCGAGAGGCCATAATAGACCTGCAGAGGGCATCGAAAGCTCTTGCAGATAAGCTTGAAGAGATAAGTAAGCTTACGGCACGAAAGAAGCGTCGAATGGACCGGTTAGACTTGTTGAAGAAGGATTGCGGAGCTGGAATGGATGACGCAGAAAGAGTTTGGAAGAAATGGCTAGAAAAGCAGAATGAAGAAGAGGAAAACGAAAAGAAGCAAAAGAGACGAGCTGAGGAAGCCAGACGAGGAGCACAAATAAGAAGTCATCCGGAGAAAAAGCCTTACAAAGGGCACTGGTCTAAGTGGTCTGATCAGGATGAGTACTTTTTACAAAAGTACGGCACTAAAGGATTCAAACCTGAAGATATGCTTCTGGGGGATAACGGGTTACAGGGGCAACTAAAGAATTCGCTGCAGAATATCAAGTGGCACGAGAATCCCAAAAATGATTTGGAGTTGATCAGCAGGCCCAGAGAGAAAGGCTTGAGTACTCAAGAGGTTGGGACGACAAGATAAAGGTAGGTAGTCAAGAGATTGATTGTTATAGGGGAGGATACGATCAGAATTGATATTAAGCGATATCTTTCAAGTCGATCTGGTCATTTCAATCAATTTCTTGTGACATAAGTGTAGAGCGAAATCAAACTTGAAGCTCCCGAAGTAAACTCTATCTCCAATTGTGGAATTCCAAATGAGAAGTTATCAACTGAACAGTTCATTATTCTCCTGTGATTCCACCTTGTGCAAGCAGACTTAACCGAGCATTCAAGCAGATATGGATGCATTGGCTTAAGAATGATTAATTTAGTGACGCACATCATCACCGTGAATCTTCAACACTTCTTTATTGTGCCTTGAGAAACGCCATGTTACAAAGATTAGCGCCCTACAGATTCAAAACCTCCGGTTGTGGGTGATTGATCAGCAAATATCAAATGTATCCGAGAAGTATCCGTGCACGTGATATCAACGAGAGGTATAAGTCTTCAGCTGAAGACCTCAAGCACTGCGACTCAGACTGACTTAGTGGGGATATTACTCCTTAGACATATACACAATGGAGATTTCCGAGGACGCTACTAGGAATGCAACAGAAGCGTTGGTTCTCGAGGTATATATACCAACACCCATATTCGTGGATTTGTCCCCTTACTCATATTAGTTAACGCACTTAATAGTTCCATGCAACAGCCGATTCCCTAACTACAAATGGTCTCGAGAAGCTCTATGGTAAGAATGCTACACTAAGATATGGAAACGAAGAGGAAGTGGAAGGAGTAGATGGAATCAGAAAAGTATACCCATCACTCTTTATTCTACAAGCGCAAACTGTATCTTGATCACCAATCTAATCAAAAGTGCATATAGTTCTTCGAGGGTGTCTTTCTTACTGCTCAAAAGCATGAAACATGAGCTTGTCGATGTTGGTATGTAATGCCGTCTCAACTACTAGTTGCGAAGTTGTAGTAATCAATGTGTGCTAGATCGAATTGGAAACAAAATCTACCAATCTGTTTTCATTACGTATGTTGTCGAGAATGATCCAGAAGAGAGGGAAATCAGGATACCAGTTTTGGGAAAAATGTTTCTCATAGAAGATGGAGAGGAGGAGGGAAAGATGTCGAGGTTTGAAGTGTTTGCAAACCCTTCGGAGGTGTTCGCGAGGATAGAAGATATTCGTAAAATGACGTGAAGCGATTGAAAGACAATTTAATGTATGTCAGCATCATCAGATAAGAGTATGTTGGATTCACCTTTTTATCGCATCCCTATGCTAGTCTGGGAAGGAACGTCTATGAATTTGTGGGCGTCGCTGTATCACAATTCCTGTTAAGAACCATTAAATACAATGCTTATGATATTGGTATTTTTACTTCGTTCACTTTCCCATAATTTGATCACATCTACCACCTACCACCTAGCCTACTAGGTATGTTTTCTCTCTCTTCCTCATCCTTCCCCCTACTCCATCTCCTCCACAATATATCAATTACCTTTCACAAAATCTTGCAAATAAATTCTCTCCATTATATGATTCATTTTGGACCATAAACTTTCAATTCTATTGAAGCTTTTATCCACCATACTTAGCGTTTTTCAACCCTCCAACACACATGAGGTTTAGATAGTATACAATCTCATTCTGCGCACCTGAAACAAAGCAAGTATCTATTTCTTGCGCCGTTTTCTGATAATTATTCAGAAATCCTGCGATCCTAGTGGATTGACAATTCTCTAGAAACCTTCCCACTCATCGGCACATATCGGTACTCTCTAGCAGTTTACATCACGATTTCAAAAGCTTCTGACACTATACACCCATCCAAGAACTCAAAGGCATCATGGCAGCTTCTTTGGGTGAGTCATATGAACGTTTCTCTGTTCGTCTGCCACATTCCGATAGTAAGAAATCGCAATACCTCGATGAGTACATGGAAGTTGGGGAAAAAGACCCCAAAACAGGAGAACTTACGCGGTTTATCTTTTCAAAAGAAGGAGAGTTTGGTCTAGAAATCACGCTGAATGCGGGCTTCAACCATGGATATTATGATGGTGTTATGGTAAAGCTGTCAGATGTCAATTCCGGGGATCTAATTTGGCAGAAGAAATACCCAAAGTCCAATGCGAAGGAGCCAAGTCAGCAAGATCAGAAAATTATGATTGATTCTATTGACCACGCAATAATTGACGGAAAATTGAGGTCTAAAGTTCTCATGAAATTAGCACCACCAGTACCAGGTATGTGCCATATCTTCAAATATGCAATTGCTGGTCTAAAATGAGTAGAAGATGATTTTATCAAGTCTGAAGCTAACGAAACTCATCGCTACCCTCGTATGCTAGAAGGAGTCTGTATCGGTATATGCAAGTATAAGGGAGCTGGCGATATTCCATTGACCAAGGAAGAATTCGACCTGAAGCTCAAAGAACATACGTTACAGTTAGAAAGCTATGCTAGAACTGATGGTAACGGTTCTTTGGATACTCTGAAAAGAACTCTTGTTCATCGTGAAGTTTACCAGAAACATAAAATTACACACAAGTTGAGGTAAATTTTCATTTGATTCAGTGGTGATATATACACTAAATGTTTTTTCAGATTAGTAGATGGAGTTGCAGTCCCAAACGAAGACATTGAGGTATACTTGACCCCTCCAACAAACACTAAAAAGCTTTTCAGGTACAGTGATACACAGAATTTCTATTACTTGTGGCGGGGTGAGAGTAAGTAGAACAGATCCATGGACTCAAGATTTCGACTGACGAAATCAGAGTTCTTTGATACCACGGCTATAGCCCAGACCCCTATTGCTCTAATTCGACAACCCTGGGATTTTTTAACTCCCAGAGAACGAGAGAAAGCATATGGAGAGCTTTCGGTGAGCTGATTCTCAGTTTGTGTCTAATGTGATGTACTAAACTTGTAACAGAAACATGATTTCCAGCAAATTTGGTCTCATCAGTTTAAAGCACTTGGTCCGAAACCTAACAAAGTAGCTACCGATGCACTAAAGAATCAACTTCGTGAAAACCTACCAGATTATTGGCGCTCGTGGCATAAATTGTACTCGTATGAAACTTCAAGAGCATTTAAAATGTTGCAGGTATGTTGCAACAAAATATTAGCATGTGTATGACCCCCAACTTACCTGAAATAGGAGAGGCGTCGATTTCTTGACAGAGGCGAGGTACCAGAAGATTCAGAACTTATTGGGAAGTCTGAAGAAGCCCCATTAAATTAGAAAGTGCACCGAGAAGATTGGAGAAGTCTTCTGAGAAGATATGCATTCGATCTCTCACACACCCTGGTCCGTCTACATTTTCAGAATCAACAGCATCCTCGCCTAAACCAGCAATCGCCCCGATGTATCAACCAGAGATTCCTGCCCAACCAAAACCTACTCAAACTGTCGCAGGCATGGATTCAGCAGTGAAAAGGTCTGCAAAGACTGACCCACCAGGAGTCTCAATTTTAGGTCGTGTCTCTGCATCTATTACCGATGTACTCGGGCCTGTCAATGAAAGAGTCCTCTGTGTAGAATGTGGTAAGGATTTCGTCAGCGACCGAGCCTTTCTTGACCATTTTCAACCTACTCACGGCCATAATTTCGGAGATCTAAAACAAGCTATGATGAATAAAATAAGTCCTGGCGCGTTTATGAGTAGCCTTCCCCGTGCATGGGCAAACACAAGAGCCACAGAGCCAATGCACACAACTGGTAGTAGGCTAACTACCTCGTCTTCTTCTGAGGTACCTGCAAAAAGTCTCAATAACTCTTTTTCCATGAGCTCTTATACTGAGCATAGAAACAATGATAATGTCGCCAAACTCGCAACAAAAAAGTCTTCCAATTCCAAGTCAAGCTCGACAAGAAGTTCAGTTCCTAAATCATCCACCAAGACCATTTCCAAGGCACTAAAACGGCCAGCCGGAGTTGCGGATCTGTCTAGATTGAAGCTTCCATCCTCGAAGAGGAAACGGATGATGGGATGTATGAAAGGCGAGGTGGCGATGCATCATAGTCCAGTTGCCATTGAACAGTCAACAAGGCCCTCAGTGTTGAATGTTTCGAATCATTTGTTTCTGAAAAAGAAAACTCGACGGATCCCCCGGATCTTGATAATTCCCGAATGATTGTAGCACCCGACCCATCAAAGTCTGGTGCCGGATCAACCAGCTCTCTCATCACCACTACTGTGTCTTCTTCACTTGAAAGTGCTTCAGTCTCGCTTTCATCTAGTGTAAAGCCCGAGGCATCTCGGATTGAATCATCCTATCCCGCAGAGGCACATCCGGTGCTTTCTCCTCCTTTAAACTTTCAATCATCATCCATAGATACCCCAAGTACTAGCTCATCAATGATTACTTCTTCCAATTCACACGTTATTCCTGTTTTGGAGACCTCAATTATCAAGAGTTCGGAGACAAAATCTAGTTCAACTATCGATGAGGTGTATACTTATGCCGAGATGTGGGCTGCCACTCAATTATTCATTGATACCCCATCCAAAATCGAGCCTTCAACCGAACAAGCCGTCAATATGCCCTCGATTATCGCTGAAGCGACCGCCTCCTCAGTTATTCCAGTCATCGACCTCGACAGATGGGTTTCATCCCCCAATTTCATTGCCACCTACTCATCCACCTCTTCCTCTGTCCCAGTGATCAAAACCGAGACCGACACGGACAAGAAGCCACGGTTGAAAGTCGACGAAGATGTAAAAATTCCAGAAGCAGACATCAAGAGTTGTGAAGAGGAAGAAAGGAGACGGGAGACAGAGCTTGAGGATGCGATGAGAATTGCTGAGGCGAGAATGGAATTGCATAGAGTTAGGAGGAAGATTGAAACATTGAGGTCAGGAAGTTTGTGAATTGTGGGGAGTTAAGTAACTTCGATGGGTTACAATTTAATGATTTAACTAGGGGGTATGCTTGGGGGACACAATTATCAGTTTGGGAGCTCGCACGCGTTGTCTTATCATGATGATTTTGGTTGGCATTTTCGATTCCTTCTATTCTATTCTTCGACTTATTAATACGTGGTTTTTCTCGCAAACTTCCTTGATAGTCGAGCTCCAGATCTTTTGATAGCAGTCAACGAACATGATTGACAAGATAACTTGGTTCAAAAATCATAATTCCCGTGACTACATTGCTGAGCTAATGAATTTGACGAACGATTGTTCGGTAGGTAAAGGGGAGGCAATTTCTTATCCACATGCCGATACAGCCCGGGTGGCGTACCGTATCGTAGTTCCGAAATAGCGTTCATACGCTAAGATTAATCACGTGCCAGAGCGAATTATTGATGGAGACCCTGAAGCAATGTGAATGACCTACAGCATGGTACGGCGAGGATGCGATTACCGTACTCGTCAAGGATACGAAGTATATATAATAATCCCTCTCGATGCAATAACAGACACTGGATTAATTACTCCTAATTTACATCTTTAATAATGATGCGAAAATTTGGGCTTTTCAAGCCTTCAGGGATTCTTTCACGCATTACACCAATTCGACGTCCATTGAGTGCAAGAAGTTTCCGAACTAGAGTTCTTACAAACTACAGTCATGATTCTTCACAAGAGGTTAATATTGAGCCGCCTCCACCTCCTCAACCAAGCCCTCCAGTTCAATCCAATGTGGCTGCACTGACTATATTTACCGTGGTCGCCGTCAGTACCATATATACCACTTCGGCCATATACGAGAATCTGAATCTCCAAAAAGAGACACCGAAAATCATGGATCTGTTGATCCGAAACGAGGAAAACACGTACGATGTAAGACGCAAAATGCACGAGATGAATTATCCTCCAGGAATACTATATGCTCCGACCCCATGGCCACCCACCCACCAACTTTCCAGTCCACAGGGACGCGAAAAATTCTGGAATCGATTAATGCCCTCGGAAAAATTCACATATACCATCATGGCGACGAATATAGGAATCCATGCTCTGGGTAGTCTGGCTCCAGGATTATGGTCCAACATTTTCATGCATACACCCGGCATGAATAGAAATTTCACACTGCTCACCTGTGTATTTGGTCATGGAGGACTTGCGCATTTAGGTATGAATATGTATGGATTCCATTCTTTCATGCCGGCCTTGGGACAAGATCCCTCTTTCAAATCGAGTATTCCTCACATGACGGCTTTCTATCTCTCAACGGGTGTTGTGGGTAGTTGGGCACAAGCTTTAAGTGCGGGACTTCGACCGAATGTCGCGCCGGTGCCGTTTTTGGGAGCGAGCGGTGCGATATTTGCTTTGATTGGTGCGTTTGCTATGCAACACCCAGAAGCTCAGTTTCAGATTCTGTTTATCCCGTATCCGTTTGCGGCGCAGGAGTTGTTGGGTGCAGTTATGTTGTTTGATTTACTGGGTGTTTGTGGTGCTTATAAAACTCTTAGATTGGGACACGCGGTAAGAATTTCTTGAGAATTTTCAGATGACATGTGGCTAATTTTGAATGGTTTAGGCGCATTTGAGTGGTGCTCTGATGGGTTTGGGATATGTGTATTTTGATTGCGAGAGGAATATTTGGAGACCTCTTTGTAGAGGTGTTTATAAATGGTTTGGAATGAGAAAGTGGGAGAAGAGGGTTTAGCGGTACTTCGAAGATGAGTGGGACAGGGTAGCCTAATATGGCTCCTATTACCAGAGGCAATGTAGAAGAATCATGAGTAGAGATTAGATTTTCACCACTCATAGTTGGCCATTACTTGCGTCGGCGTTTAGGTATTGATGTTCCCCTCATATAGTTAATAAACGATTTGTTAGTAGAAAAAGGCTTGACTCCCAGCATCTAAAAGATCTCCATAAACTCGTCGGGAGTGAGTTGACATGTGACAAAGCAGGCAATTCAGACCGAGTGAATAGATTTATTCGATGAAATTGGTATATAAAGTGCATTGATATCCGCAACCATCATAAAATGTGATCATAACATTACCTCCTCTCGACCCCCTCTTCCCAACGACATGTCCCCATTGGCCCGCAGAACTCTTCATGCCATGCCATACTATGAAGAGAGAACAACAACTTGAATCATAACTCTTTAACAACAATATCCCATCTGATCACTCACACTCCCCATCTCACTCTTGTCCCTCTCATTCCCCATAAAATGTCTCGAAGACATCAATACCCTCTCAATCCCCGCACCGCCTCGTAGTCCAACTCCCTTCTTCTTACCAGCCCCTGTGAATTATGGACTTTAATTTCGGACCTGCGCTTTCGGTGCACCCGCGTGTTCAATATGTTCTTCCTCAGTCGTGGTATTTGTAACCTCTCTCTTCCTCAGATTATCATTACCAGCTTCGACGTCAGGAATAGTAGCAGCGGCTTTCTCATTGTTAGTGTTGACATTAGTACCAGGGCCTCCTCGAAGCGATCCAGTATTTGATTCCACATCTCCTTTATGAGCCATTGCAGTAACCCCAAACAGATCGTCCATTTTTTCAAGCGAGAGACCCTTAGTTTCAGGGATGAGGAACCAAACGAAGAAAAACATGCTGAAGCAGAAGGTGCCGAAGATGAAGTAAGTTCCGTACCCGGCACGGCCGACTGTTACCAACACTTTCTGGATGTCAGTTGATTCAAAAACGATATTAAGACAATTGGGAACGTGAAGAAGAATATACAAAGTCGGGGAAAGAAAGAGGAAATACTCACTAGTAGGAACTGCCTTTGCAACCACAAAATTAAACAACCACTGGGTCGCCGCCGCAATCGCTACATTCAACGCTCTCAATCTCGCAGTCGGTATCTCACTAACAATAATCCAACAACAAGGTCCCCATCCAAATTGAAAGAACCCAGCAAATAGATAGATACAAGTCAAAGCGAAATATCCTACGGGAGGTATGACAGCACCCTTAAGCGGCGGATCAAATCGCACGTAGAAACCAATAACAAACATAGCGCATCCTTGTGCAATACTAGTCCAGAGTAAAGATTTTCTTCTTCCAAGAGAATCGGCGGCTAGGAGGAGGAAAGCAGCACAGGTTGCCATCTTTACAATTCCATAGACACCAGTTGCGAATAGTCCGGATGTGGTGGAGTCAATACCGAGATTCAAAAAGATCTTTGGAGCGTAGTAGTTGATGGCGTTGGTGCCGGTCATTTGTTGACAGATCATTAGTCCTATGGATATCAATGCTCGGTTGCGATTTCCTTTTATTGTCCACATTTCTTTCATGAGATCAAGGAAACTAGCGCCGCCGATTAGTCGACGCTCGTTTTCGAGTTGTTCGGCCATCTAAGGTAGAGTTAGTAAATTTTCAATTAGCCGGGTGGTGGGATCATACTTCTTCTAATTCCATGCGAACGTATGGATGATCGGGTGGTAGACTCGCTTGGGTTAGTAGTGCTTCTAAGAGTTTCATGAAGATAGCAATTAGCTTACTTGGAAACTTTTGACAAGACCGCAGTAGCCTTTTCCCAATTGTCTTGGCGAGCCAACCACCGAGGAGATTCATGGCACAAGAAGATTCCTACGAATAGGAAAATTGCTGGCAACATTTGTAAAGCAAGTGAAACTAAGAAATGAAAAGTTAGTGTTTCGCTCGCTATAGTTGAGCCTTAAAGGAGTAGCATTACCGATCCATGCTGTATCGCCTTTGAGGTGCAATAAGGCGCCGTAGTTGATCCAAAAACTCAACATAGTCCCAGTAGCAATGAACAGTTGATACATTCCGGTGAGAGCACCTCTGATAGCTCTTGGTGCATTTTCACTGACCTGAAGGTAATCAATTGATTAATTTAAAATCTCAAAAAGAGGAGGAATTCGGTGGAGCATACATAAAGTGGTGTAAGCATACTAGCAGCTCCAACACCTAGTCCTCCAACCAATCTACCGACATACAATGCTGAACTATAAATCTTTAGCCATCGACCGAAACTTGTAAGTCATTTTCACTCACATATGCCCATCTGATGCACATTGAATAATGACTCCTAGAATCGTGATACCGGCAGCAAGGAGTAACGCAGGCTTTGACTTATCAGTAAACCAACTTTATGAATCCCATAGGGGTCATTACCTTTCGTCCCCATCGATCTGCAACATAGTAGGAAACCAGTGATCCAAAGAAACAACCTGCTTGCAATGTACTGACGACTATTTTTTTTTAGAATCAAGCTCCAAACTCATGTTTCAAAACTCACTATTCGATGCAAGATTCGCTTGCGCAACACTACTAAGCGTGTCGATATGATATTTCCTATTCTCGTCAATAACTTACTCAGTGTAGTATAGGAGTGTCAACATACTTTGTGAAAGCCGGCATAACAATAACACCTCCAATTGTACCGATATCTACGCGATTCAGTATCCCTTGTCTTCAAGCTTTCGAATCCTGAGTTGAACGTACCCCAACCAAAAAGCATGCCACCGAAACAAGCTATGTAAAGGTTAGTGAATATTCTGCCATCACATTTCTTCTCGAGGCCGCAAAAGTTGTGCGCATACCAGAACATGCTAAGAAGAAAACTCTCCATCCATAGATTTCCGGGCTATTCAGAGATTCCAATTAGTTCAGAGAATTTCGCGAAGACGCATATATGCTTACGGGTCCCTGTCATATAGAAGTTAGTACCAATTATCAATTCTCAATTAGTTCAAGGTCTCTGCACATACGTTCTCATAGATTCATTCTTCACAATCTTCATCAAAAACCTTTGTCCAAGTCCGACCGCCATCTTGACGAGTCTATTCGTGTAATCTGAGAAATGATTGAGCTGTTTCAATCAGAACGTTTCTCATTGACACCGAAAATGTAATGAAATCTCGACGTGTCGATTTCAATAATAACGTGTACGAAGAAAAAGTTGAGCCTCTGCAGGAAAGTCGTACCTCTGGAGGTCTAGTCTGCCATCACAATTGTGGTCGAATACAACCATATAATATCATCCAATTTACCCTATACCCCATCATCCCAAAGGAGAAACGATTCTCCATCTAGCAACCGAGACCGATAACTCCATAACTATCTTCCATCTTGGCCAGCAATTGGCCAAGGGAGCCAAGTATATCCCCTCTTAACCTCAGAATCCCCACCCCCAGATTTCTGACACCCTGGTTAAATTGTCTACATCTTTACATGGGATAAATCCCACGTTCTATTAATCCAACCAATATAATTCCCCATTGTAGGTTCTGCATGACCATATCTGGGGTTAATAACCGGCTGGGCGCATGTAAAAGTCTCGCGTATCCGTGCGTTGTAATCCGTTTGCAGTTTGGTGTGTGGAGCCCCGCATACAGAAGGATGGATGATCTTGTTGTGTTGAACAGGGGGTGTGGATTATAAGAACCTGGAAGGATATTTATCCAGCAATCCCAATTAAGAAGGACGTTCGAGTAGAAGGCATGAGAGCTTGGCTTGGAGCGCCACGCATCAAATGCCAAATCAGTGTGAACAGATCGCTTGTAAAATGTGAATATGGTTCACGCGAGTTGAGGTGATAGATAAGGTTGTACTATGTCACACTATTTTCTGACTGAGTCGAGGACGTCTAGGCATACATGTCTTGGAAACAAATAAATACCTAGAATATCTCATCGTCTATAAAACCTACCAAATGATAACTCACTCAATTTCTCATCTCATTCATCAGCCACCCGGGAACGACAGGTTTATTTTTCCACCCATCAAGATAGTTCTCTGCTTCCCCAGAGGGCTTAGCATATATACCAGTCACAAACCAAGACACACTTCCTTTTTCCAACGTGATCTGTAATGTAGGTATCACGGTACGACTTTCAACCAAATTAGAATTTGGGTCAGCATTAACGAGCATCGCCGTGCGACTGCTTTCACCATCACTTTCGAGTGCAGCTATTCCAACCGCCCCTTTCGATACAGCAAAGGCACCGACTGAGCCTGGCGAACTACCTTCAGGTGTGTTGAGATCGTAATTTCCAATGATCTTGGGAATTGTACCTTCATTTTTGGCTGAGTCGTAAAGATCAAGGGAGCGACCATCCGGTCTTCGTTCGTTATAAATTGCGAATGCGCCATCTGCCGTCATGATTTCTCTTCCAGCTTCTATCTTGTGAACTCGAAGATGCCAGTTTGGAGTTTCGTCGACGGGAGGTATGAGATAAGTCTTGATAGTAACATCTGGGAACGGTTTCCAGATAGACTTCAATACTGATTGTTTATCGTGCGTCTCAATGTCTGCTGTCTCGCAAAGTCGGCGGGTTTTCCAAACTTCACCTCCATCATCAGATAAACCGAGCTGTGAAGCCAATGCAAATTGTTCCAACGAAAAGCATCCTGTAGGTACGGAATAACCATATGCGCCACTGTACGCAAAAGATCCATACTTTGCATGTGTTCCTCTCATAGGATATGAACATGCTTGACCTGAAGAGAGTATCATCTTGTGACCTCCAAGGTAGCTGATGATATGTCCAGGATGTTTCAAAGCTTTGATGGCTGGGAGCAAGTTCGTTGGGTATGGTTCTTCTTCCGATGTCCAGAATGGGTGATCCTGGGGAACAGCCAAACAAATGAATGCCAAACATGCCCAATATGGACTTCCTGGTGAATTATAATTTTCCGACATGAACATGTTTGGAAAAGAATATCCCACAGTCAAGGTTCCAGTAGGACTCCAAATTTGATCTTGAGTTTGCCACCATCTGAGATTTCTCAATAACAATCCCTTGACAATACCCCATGTCAATGGTTCTGGCAATTCAACATCAGCATATGCTAAAGCACCCCAGAATGAAGACATAGCGAATCGGTATCCGACACTTCTTCCAAATGGTGTTGCTCTTCCTTCTTCATCGAAATAATGAATGAAGTCTAATGCATAATCTTGAGCTCGTTTCTTGAACTCTGCAGCCTTTTCTGGATCCTCATCGCCTGCCAACTTTGCATATAATAGTTGAAGGAATTGTATAGCAAAACTTCCACTGTAATAATCTTGTTGCCAAATCCCCTCAGGTCCATCATTTGACCATCCCTCTCCTCGGAAGAAAGAATTCAAATGAACGATATCTTGCTCGATCTTCTCTTGTGAAAATTTCCCTCCGTTCTTCTTCAATCCTAGATTTGCAAAGACTCGAAACCACAACCAATTTGTATTCGGCATGCTAGAACTGGTCAATACTTTGCCTTGGTTCCCATTTTCATCAAAACTCACTTCTTACTATTGATTGAATTTCCCAACCACGTCTCCACATTCCCTCTCTCTTTCTCACTCAATTTCTCCCAGAAAACCGGTGCAACAGCCAATGCAAATCCCAAAGGACACATCTCCACCATTCTTTGATCATTATCTCTGGGCTCTCCCCAAAATTCCTCATTTTCGGGATCAGTACCTTTTTTCAATCCCTCAATCCACCATTCCGTCCCTTCGTATTCTCCTCCCCCAGCTAGAAGCGAACTTAATCCCCATAATGGTCGACAAAACCCTTCAATCTCAGCAGCACGCGCATCGAAACGGACGGCAGTGGAACCAGGTACACGGATCAAAGCTTTTTGCGGGGAGAAATGAGGTTTGAGGGGATCAAGAAGGGTTTTGAGGAGATTTTGAACAGATGTTCGATCATTGATGGAAATGAGGGAGAAGGGATGTTTGGTGTGGTAGCCCAATGTTAGTTGTTTCTGGGATGCCATGATGAAGGATATTGACGCGAATTTGAACTTGAGTCCGCAGCAAGCCAAACTCAAGATGTAAAATGAAAGGAAGAAGACGAGTACCTACATGATGATATTTAGATTCTATGATGACATGCTTACCTCGTAAGAATGATATGCCGACAGCAAACATCTACATTGAGTGTGTTGCATCGCGTTGAGTGGGACGCGGTCGTCCGGGGATAAATTGAGGTGGGGGAAGTGCATGCAGGCTAAATTCAATCACTAAACGCACACCCTGTCTATCGACATCGATCTCGCCCCGCCTTGAACTATTTTGTAGAGTTGAAGAGCTACCCAGCTAGTATTTGTAAAGCTTGATACGTAACACATTAGAATTATACATCGACCATATCTTGGTGTAGTCAAATCCTACAAGAGCCACGACTTGCACCAACGCTAGCCACCTTCTTGAGCTACATCCGAGCCACAGCTTCTGAACATTCGTCTCTACACAACATCTGCGTGATGATAGTTATGATGTCTCTCCTATCCTCTGATTCGCACGAACTCAGCAGCCGTTTGTCGCAATATTTCTTCCGCCATCTCCAAATAAATTGAATCCTCGGGGTTAGCATTTGGCGTTGATGGCTCCAGAAGGACTACAGCATCTACGAGCTCGATCAGATCCTTATTCATTCCTGTTTTCTTACTGATAATCATAGCCTTCTCGTCGAGTATTCCGGAACCTATTGTTTCTTGTCTGGTCGTAGCATTGTTAGTAGTATCCGCATCAATTGGCTCCTGCGCGATCTTTCGTCTCTTTGCCAACGGCTCTCCAGAGGCCACCTCTGCATGACCTAAATGAGGATGCTCCTCTTTCATCCTTTGCTTTCCGGTTATCTTGCAGTTGGAATTCCGTGTGAGAACTTTGTTTGGGAGTTTCATCTCCTGCTTGATCGCGTTCGGTGGACCTTGAGATTTGGGTTTGATTTTGGCCAATTCGCGAGGATGGGCAGATTGCTGGGCAGTGCCATCTTCATCCGGAATGATCGATCTGTTATCAGGCAAAACACGAAAGTATCTTTTGATCACTCCTCTCTCAAATTTTCTCTGTTCTTTCTATATTTCCATATATTAGCGAAAGTCATCTGTTGGTGTTAAAGATTGACATGCCTGCAAGCTCCAAAACACAGTTTCTCTCTCTGATGGCTGCATATCACTCCATGGAAGCCATTCTTTAGACTCACGTTCAAAGCCGGGGGAAAACTCTCTGCGCGATCTGCAAAAAATTTGTAATTCTCTTAAGGCGCATCGGCGCTCTATGTCAGTAAGAGACTTCCAAGGGCTGTGATAGAGGGGAGAAGGGTCAACGTCTGGACGGCTGAGAAAGCCTAAGTAATACGGTCAGTAATGTATAGTCGATGAATGGTGAGGAAGACATACCGAAATTACGATAGGTGAAATGAAATTTGAGGGGATCCGAAGTAGTGAACTCGTAGGATGAGACTACAGATTCTTTAGTCGCTATTCGATTTTGACCCAACCTTGAGATGTCAGATTAGAAAGAAGCTTGAAGAATTTGAAATCTTACCCGATAGAGTTTGTGATTCCTTGTTCCTTGAAACTCGACTTGTCTACCTTCTCGGCATTCCACAAGGCTGTGGTGGTATTTTTTGAGAGGTAATTGTTTGGTATTGGAGAAATTCTTCGACGATTAAGTCTGACGAAAAAGCTTCCGAGGTCGATAGGATTAACGCCGATTATATCAGTCTGACCCGACAGAGTTTCATCGATTTTGAGTTCCTTGAAGACAAATGGAGCGCCGATGACATTTTCACCGTAGTTGCTCATGTTTACACAACCGATCTCCATTCTCAGATCTTGTTTGGTGCGTGCATGATCTGGGTTTGGGTCATTCAAAACTGCTAGACCGCAGTAAGTACTCTGTCCCTTGAAATAAAGGTTTGCCTCGACTGCATCAAATTGCTGGAAGCAAAAACCAGCCTTCAAAGTGATCTGAATCTTGAACATAATTCCAGGATACGCGGTAATGTAACGTTCAGTTTCTCCGTCGCCATGTATCTTTTGATCTCCTAACATGATATACTCTTCGAAGGACTGACCTGTCACAGCGTTGACGATCTGAACCTCATACTCATTACCACCCTCTGTTAGGATGGCCATGATGAGAATTGCAGTATGTGATTTGTCGATGTGTTGTTGATTGAAAGAAAGTCGGATGTGGTTGTGGAGGATAGCAGAAATTGACTTAGCGTATCTCACTAGTACCCGGTAAAGTGAACGAAGATTTAAAGATCAAGAGAAAAAAATGAGGAAGTACCTAGAAGTGAACGCGAAAAGAAAAACAGATGACTTGAGGTTTACATGTTGTATTGTGGGAAGCAAGGAAAAGCGCTGGCATCATTCCTTTTCTCAAGACATTACTCTCGTGCTATCCCTAGGTTACTACACACCAACTGCATGAATACATCTCCACCAATTCAACGGTTGGACATCATTTTACTTTTGTTATTACTACTATGCTATGTGACTTCACAATCAAGAAGTTAGGATACAATAGGCTGAGTCCAGCACAAAATCAACACAATCGCCTTCCACATCAACAGCTTCATCATTGCACCCCAGATTCCAGAAATACATCCCCATATCCCCAAACAACATACACAAAATAAAAGCCATCTACTCCGTCTTGATTCTTTTATTAGTCTTCGCCTCTGCATCCTCGATCTTTTTTGTGATTTCATCCATCTTTCGTTTCTTTTCCAACAACTCAATATCTCTCTGAAGATTTTCTTTCTCCTCCCTCAACTTTTGCAATTCTTTCAATTCCTGTAAATCTTCATCCACATTTACAACCAATGGCTTCGTAGCTCGTACGGGCTCAGAACGTCTTACAGTTTTGAAAACTTTGGTCTCGGATACAAACATAACTTCATCGTCTGAATCAAGTGAGATAACATCGATGGGTTCGGCCTTGACATATGCAGCGGAAGTTTGAGAAGCAGCCGCTTGGGAATTGAGTCTATCAATCTGGCTGATCAAGCTATCACGAATGCTTTCGAGCTTGACTTCGACTCCTGGAATCACTGTCTTATTTCTGTGCGGTGTAGTAATGTTGGAGTGAGCAGACTCTGTAGCAGAATCGTCTGGGATGACTACTGGCGATTCAATTGCCAGAGGTAGTCTCATATTGAGTGAAGTTGCATCTCCTACGCTTTCCGCCACGTCTTTAATTGGATACGGTGACGAGTATGCTAAAGCACCTACTAGTCCTAATCTATTTCCGTCAGATGGTGAGTTTGAGGGTGCTAGTGCTTCTCGTCCGGCAGGTATTTGATTAGGCGAAACTTTCTCTGGTACCCCTCCTAACTCAGCAGATTCATCTTCTCCATTAAATAACATGACATCGCCACCCATAGATGTGTACTGAAAGTTTTTTTCGCCTCGTTCACGGGCTTTTCTTCGTTCCTGATAATATTTGTTAGCGTCATATTGTCTGTATGCATAGATTTGGAAATACCTGAAGAATATCGAATGTTTCGCGTTGCTCGGTACCATACATTTTATGCCACGCACGCCATTCTCTAGGCAGATTCTTTGCAAGATGAGTTTTACGTCGGTTGACTTTGGATCCAAAACTTTGCCCGACTTCGTTTCCCTTGATGGCCTTCCAATGAGTCTTTTCCAAATCCTGAAGGTGCGCAACTGCCATCTTTCTCTCTTCTCTCTTGAGGGCGTCCCAATCATAAACGTGTAGCAATACTGGGTATTTGGCGATGTTATCATTTTCAAAAAACTCTGCACATTATGTCAGTGATAAGATATCGATCTGCCCAGAACGCGTAAATACCAGCGGGTCGCGGAAAGAATTTAAACCCCTCCATGCAATGGACACATCGCCAATCTTTCCTAGTGCGGTCTGGCTTTCTAGGTAACGTAAGGTTTGGAGACGCATTGGAGTTTTGAGGCTCAGAAAAAAGTCTTGCGCAATTCTTCTTCCAGCTTATTATCACTTCTTTGTACTCGTCGTCAGATAATGTGACCATAAAGCTCTCAAAGAAGACAACGTCAACTTGGAAAGCTGGAATTCCTTTTGGAAGTGCATCTACAGCTCCAGTATCATTGGACTGTTCTTTATCTGTCATTGTAAGCTTAGAATGATCATACGTGCAATTATCCATTTACCTGTCTCCAACTCCACATTCCTAAACACAAACTTTGAGCCTCGCGGTCTTCCATGAATCTCTACATTGGCGTACCGAATTGCTTGGACAAGATCTTTTTCTGTTTTTGTTTTATTGATTCCATGGAGAGGCATCTTAAATTCAGCGTAAGAAACTTCCTTGCCGTCCATACACATCTTGGCTTGAATAAGATCGTATTTGCCGAAATCAAAACCCTCCTTTAAGGTGACCTCGACATAATACGTAGCTTTAGACTCTGCCATAATATATCTTTCATCATGCGGATTGGGAGACCCTTCACTAGGTTTGAGTTTGGCGTATTCGTCATAATATTTACCTGGATGCTTTTTAACACGTACTTCGATCTCGCCCTCTATACCAGACATGATAGCCATGATGAGCAACGCTTCTGAGTTGGTAAATTCGTGTTCGTGATACTCGAAGGCTTTATTGAAGACTGAGAAATACAATTCTTGATTCGGAAATATGCTGAGGTCTTTTCAGTCTGGAAACTCGCAAAGCGTGAAAAGTGATTGTGATATATAAAAATTAGCAAGAATAGAAAAGACTCTAATTTGATCCATCAATCAAAATATATACATACCAGATGCTGCCAGGAATAAGTTTTATAGGGTAATTACAAGATTCACAACTTCCAGTAAGGCTGCGTTGATTGAAATTTGAAGGTGGAAAGAAAAGGTGAAGGCGAAGGTGAAGCGAAAGAGAAGGATATTGAAGAGTCACGGGACTTGAAGTGAATGATCACAATGAATGTCACCTAGCAAGTGTAATTACAAATCATTGTGTGTAGAATAAGAATATCATGGGGTTATTCATATTATATACTTCACTCGCTGGTGAAATAGTAAGATTGAGCCTCTGTATTGCCACTGATTAAGAACCAAGGTAAAGAGAGTTGTAAAAACAAAATGATAAGTATATTGGAACCTCTCTCTACGAAAATATATTCAACCCATAAACAATGTCCGTCGCCGACCAGATGAGACCAAATAACTTAATATCATTGAGAATTAGACCTTTCGATCATTCTGTCTTGATTCGCTTCTTAGATCTCGCTGCATCAATTTTCTCCTGCAAAGCATCACGCTCCCGCTTCATTTTGATAACTCTCTCTTCTTGCGCGATATCTTCCTTCAGTTTCTCAAGTGCGGCCTCTTCCTTTCTCAACTCCTCATCTGCAAATGTAATCTCTTCTTCAATCTCTTCTTCCTTTGGAGCTAGGCTTAAGATTGGATTCTTAGTCTCAGAGACAATGATAATCGAATCATCGTCCTCGTCAATATTGATTATCCCGTGCTTGCTGATATTTACGCCTGTGGTCTGTTGTGCGTCGAGGGAGTTTGCCGTAGCGCGTTGGATTTCTTCATGCTTGATGCGTACGCCTTCTTTACCAGACTTAGCCCTCTCTTGTTTCTTGTCATCTCTACCCCTCTCGAGAGAGTTTCTGGAAGGCTTATCGTTTTCTTCGTCTAAAGAAATGATTTCCCCCATGAAGTTTTTATACTCACGCTGAATGATACCTCGCTGGCGGTTTTTCTTATCTGTCTGTCGAAGCGAGTCATTGGTTGCTCCTGGAAATAAAAAGATGGAATGAAACATACTTGAAGCTTATCAAACACCCTTTGTTTCTCAGCAGCGTACATTTTGTCCCAATGACGCCATTCCCATGGATCATCTTCCGACTTGATCCTGCTACCTACATTGGGGAGTATCAAGCCAGTCTCTTTCTCTCGATCTTCACGCCATTGCTTCTTGCTCAATTCTTGCAACTCAGTTAAGGCGATTTTTCTTTCGTTCTCATTCAACATACCCCAAGAATAACAGTGAAGGGGCGGAGGGTACTTGATGATGCCCACCACTTCCAGGAACTCTGTACGTCATGCCAGTCAGTAAGTTGCCGTACAATTTGGTAGAGAGCTGGCTAACCTGCAGCCCTGCAATGAAACTCGAATGTCCCGGAGCAAGGTAGGGCTTTATACGTTGTAGTAGTACGCTCTGGTGGTTGAGGCTCTACAATAAGTCCCTTTTTATGCATAGAGTCTCTTGCTGGAACGTTCGGCTGCTTTGTTCCTCCAGAAAATCTAGATATGTCAGCCGTTGTCCTTTTGAGAGCATCGCGAATCAAACTACCCGATGGCCGAGCGGATGCCACGTTTTTTAAAGCTATCCTTGTCAACCTTTTTGACGTCCCAGAGATTTCGAGTGTTGGGCTGAATGACTGCAGGATCAACGACTCTGTCTTGAGGTCCGAGAGCGGACGTATTGTGCTCAACACTTGCAGAAGCGTGCTGGAACTCCAATACTGCCTTGTCGTATTCATCATCGGATAGTTTGACGGTGTGCTTCTTATATAAGAATAGCCTGACTGAAAATGTCACGAGACTATCCGGATGAATGCCCAAAACATCCGTCTCGTCGGAAAGATCTTCATCTACAACAATAAGCTTTAGACATTGAACAATCGTAAGCATTGAATAATTCACTAACCTATTTCAATTTGTCTGAAAAAAAATCTTGCCCCAAGTACCTTTTCTCCATCAACTCCCACATAAGCATACTGAATATTTCTGACAATATCCTCCTTCAACTTTCTTGTGTATTTGTGTTCCCAAAAGGAAGTACCTGAAATCCGCTTATCTCGACCAGAGAAGTGCAAATTAGCACCCATAACGTCATTATCACCAAAATCAAAACCTGCTTTCAATGTGACTTCGATATAGTATGTGGTGTCCGGCTCTGCAACGATATACCTCTCTCGCTCGGTATCAGTGCCTCTCTCCTTGCGTTCAACTTTAATGTATTCATCATAATATGTGTCGTCCGGGTATCTCTTGATTCGGACCTCGACTTCACCTTGGCTTGTATTCAAGATAGCCATACTGAGCGACACTAGAGATTTTGCGTGTTTATGCTTTTATAAGTTGAGAACTGAATTAATAAAGATTGGAAGCTTTGCGGTGCGAAGCAATCAAATCGAGTATCAGGTGGAAGAGTTTTGGAAGTGTGGAAAGCTGATTATCATGAAATGTCAGTAGGAAGTAAATGATCTCAAAACAACGAAAAACTATCCGAGAGGAATCAACCCACCAAGTTTGTCAGGATAGTAAACAAAGAAAGCCGTTGCAAGGCTTCTCAAAGCTGTTGACGAGACCGCGTGGATCAAGGCCGAAGAAGAAAGAGAAGTCGAAGATAATAATAGAAGGTAGGTAGAGGAAGATACGTGCTAGCGCGATTCAGGAACTTGATATTGGTAATAGTGAATCAACTTTCACCTTCGACCATATCAAACGTTCAAACGTAGTGCATGTTCTGAGACAGCATCATATTCCTACCAAGTCCCTCTGCACATCCACACTTAAACACATTCTCTCGAAGCTACGAGTCCGATTCTCTTTGTAAACCTTCCTATCTACTTGTTATCTCTAGAAGACACAAAATTCTTCAATGTACTACCAAGGCTCGGACTTACAGCAAGAAATCTCTAGTTTATACTATTTCTCTCCAAACTCCTCGACTTCCCCCCCCCAAAAAAATTTCCTCAAAATCTCCGACAGATCTTCCATCTTCTCCGGATCTCGCTTGTCTTTAGCATTGCTCCCATACAACCCTCAATAATATGAAATTAGTGCCGAGCCTGCCTTTGATCATTAATGGGATGACTATTTCCCTAGGAACACTAGGCATTTTCCCCCTTCCTCCTGTCTTTAGACTCTGCAGTATCACTCCTGAACGTTTCTTAATGATACAACACTGCTGCTGAGCCCGCCTTCGGTCATTAGTGGTCTTGAGTATTCCCTCTGAAATGTTGGGTATATCTCCTCTTTCTCCAAACCTCCCCACTCCACAACACTTCTCCTACACATTTCTCACTGACATGACACTACTACTCAACACACACTCAAACATCAGTGAAATCAACCATCTCGCTTAAACACCAAGCATATCTTCTCTTTCTCCAAACCTCTCCACTCCACTCGACTCTACAGTACCGTTCCTAAACATTCCTCAATAATACGACAATACTCCCAACCTTCCCTTCAAGTATCAGTAAAACCAACCAACTATCCCCCTCCCAGCTCCACAAGTCTTCAATACAAACACCAAACAAAGCCAAGTCTCCCTCTCTCCCCTCTCGATCAACTCTCATTCAAGATCTAGATCTCCCATCACATCAAAGTAAACTATCAGATCACATCCAGCCCCATTTTCAACTATCCATCTATCTTAAGTTATCATATCAATAATGTCTCATTCCAAAAAACTCCCAAATACAACTAACTACCTCTCTACACCACAAAGCGAGAATCATAGACTAGAAGAAGCGCATCAGAGATGCATTAACTAATCAAGTATACAAGCCACCTGGTGGCTACGAGAATAAAAGCTCTCATATATATACATACATACATACACATACATACATATATACATATATACATATATACATATATACACATATACATATATACATATATACATATATACATATATACATATATACACACACACATACATATATCAAACCTCCTCTCACTACCTAACCCTAACAACCACCACCCCCCCTGCTCCCTACTCCCATACCACAAAACAAAAACCATTAAATACCAACCTACCAAATCTTTTCCAATAAAAACAACCCCCCTCATCCCACACAACCCTCATCCCGCACCACACCACATTAACCACCCAACAAACCAGATTAGATTCATACATCCATCCATCCATCTATTTATCTATTTATTTATTCATTCATTCATTCTTTCATTTATCCATCTATCCATCTATTTATCTATTTATTTATCTATTTATTTATTTATTTATTTATTTATTTATTTATTTATTTATTTATTTATTTATTTATTTATTTATTTATTTATTTATTTATTTATTTATTTATTTATTTATTTATTTATTTATTTATTTATTTATTTATTTATTTATTTATTTATATTCATAATGAAGGAGCAGGCCAGTGGAATACATATAATATTGATTATATAGATTAATTATATTAAGATAAAATCTAACTATAAAATAAAAGTGATATATATACAATAGCATAGCGCATGTATCATAATTTTCAATACTTCTTCAAAGAGTTTACTCTCTTAGTTTCTATAATTAATTTTAAAGCCCTAACATATTCTTGAATCTTTCGAATATTACTCTTATATATAGTTTTGTTAATCCATTTATAGCTATATTATTTATATTAATATAACTAGTATTGATTAAGTATTTTTTTATGAGATTCTGAATGAAGTGATGATATATATCAATATATTTTAATTATTTATGTAAATAAAATTTTTTAATTAGTATTAGCACTCCTTAATTATCTCCTAATATTTAAATTTCGCTGTTGCTTTCGATATATTATAATTGCTTTAAGTTTTTTAAAAATTGAGCTACCTATTGTTCTTGTTTAATGAATATTGCTATAGAAATGTATTTAGTTTTTGTATTAGATGTAGTTACAAATATTTATTTCTTATTTATCTATAAAATTGATTTATTATAGAATATTATTACTCTATTAGAAATACTTTTTTAATTAATTCTATTATTTATTTAATTTGTGTTGGTATATATTTTGATGGTTTGTTGTGGGAGGTTATATTTTTTATAAATGTTTAATTAAATTCCTTTAGACCCAAAACATAATTTCTGATTGATAGTTGACCTCAAATATTTTATAAGATTTTTAAATGTAATGCTGTGATATTTGGTAGGATTTGATATGGCTTGTGCTAATCTTTTGAAACTAAATATAATATCTAATCTAATATAAACTATAGGGTGGATCGTACTATTAATTACTTATTAATATTCGTTCATGTTAGTGAGCTTATTATTTGGGAGTGTTGGTTGTAATTAATTGTAATTCGAAATTAGTATTTTTTTTTGGAGTGTATTGATTATGGGAAATCCCAAAACGGGTAAGTATTATATTTAAATATTCTTTTTGATTTATAGTTAACATTCTTTTAGATTTGTTATGAATGATATGTATTCCTAAAATCTTATTAATCTTTTTTAGATCTTTGGTATTAAATCAAACCAAAAGATTATTATAAAACTATTTAATATTCCGTTTTTGTATAGTAATGATAACAATATTATCTATATAAATTAGGAGAAGTAATTATTGTGGATGATTGGTGTATAAATATGGATCTGTAAGGCTTTGTACAAAATCTATTTTGATTAACTTTCCCTTTAAAAAAAAACTTCAATTTTTGTTGGTTTGTTTTAACCTATAAAAACTTCGAAGTGTATATAAAACATAACCTTAATAAATTTGGATATCTTGAGGAGGTGTTAAATAGATTTTTTTCTTTAAGTATGATTTGGTGAATGTATTTTTGATATCAAAATAAAAATATTCAAAATCTTTTTTTGCAATGATTGTAAGAAAAAGGTAAAGAATATTGAGGTGAATTGTAGGAGTGAAGATTTTATTGTAATCTTTATCTAAAATTTAATTAAATCCTTTAGTTATTAATTTGGTCTTAAATTATTCTATCTTATTATCTTTTGTTTTAATAATAAATATCTATTTTGTTAAAATTAGATTACTTTTTTATAATAAAATAAATTCTTTTCAAGTATTATTTTTGATTAATGAGTTTATTTCTTTTTGAATTATAGTTTATTAGTTTTTTGTATACTTTTTATTTATTATTGTATTCTTATATATATTTGATATCTTAATTCCGAGTATTTCTATTACTAGCAAAACAATTTTAATCTTTGTTGATATATTATTTAAAAAAATCAAGATCTTAAAAGCAATTCTATTATTCGTTTTTCTTTTAAATTAATGAATATTTGGGATTGTAATTATAATATGCTCAATTAAATCTAATACTGATTTATTTAAGGAGATGAGTAGAGATTAAATAATTTTGGAGGTATATCCTTTTATATTGTTATTATTGTTTTTCTTTTTTTTTCTAAAATTATATTTTGAATTTAATAATATAAAAGTAGGTGTAAATACAAATACTATGGGTGGTAAGGTTATAGTTGAATTTAGTAATACAGAATTAGGAATTGAAATAATCTTAAATAAAATAATCTCTATTTCTTTATTACTTTTTTTTAATTTTGATAAATTATTTATTACTTATTGAATATTTCTATATTCGTTTTCATTAAAATATAGTATTCTAATCTTTATTTATTCTAATATTAATAAGTGTATTTTTATTGAATTTATAATTATTTTATTTGGTAATATTAATAAATTAATTGGAATAAATAATAATTCAGGAATATTCTTGAATCTACCACAAAGTTTGTAATCAGGTTTTATATTTTTGGTATCTTATGATCCGGTTATATAATTTCTGAATTTCAAATCTATATTTCCTCTTTTGTAATTTTCATTAATTATAATATGATAAAAACAGTAAGTATAATCTAATTCTAATAAATAAATCTTTATATACTTAATAGTGTTTTTTGAGTATCCTAGGAATATTCCGATTCTTGTTGTATTGTGGAGTTTATTATACCTTTATCCTATTGAAATAATTTTGGAATTAATATAAGTATAATATCAATTCCTCTAGATTTTGTATATATCAATATCTAATAATATGTTTGTAAATGCTTTAAGCGGGCTTTAATCGATTTTATTTATATTTGAACTAATATTAGTATAGTTTTGAATATATACATTGTATTTAATAACTTCATTCTAAAACTCTAATAGTAAATGAGCTTTTTTTAATATTACTCTTATATCAATTTTTGTAATATATATATTACATTCAGCTAAATTGTTTTAATAAAATAATATAATTATTATAACCTTTAATTATATATTAATTTTTTATTTCTGAATAATTTAAAAAAACTCTGGTGTATTAT